ACGCTTCTTTTTTAAAATTGTTAATTAATTTTTGTTGTTATGAGCCGCAGAGTTACACACAGTGAGGGCTCAGCTGACAAAAATCACAGAGTTAACCCGCTGGGGTCATCGATGGAGGAGGCCCACAGGCAGGGCGGTGGGAGTATTTGCTTTATGAATAGTCACTGTCCTTGCCGTAAATTCCCCGTGGTGCCACGGCGCTCCCTTTCTGTGGTGGGATTCATCCCCAAAGCTCCGGCAGTGTATTAATCATTTCCTGGGCATAGTTTCCCCTGTACATGGGCATATTGGATGACTCCCCCAGCAATGCGAGATACTGGCAAGAAAGTAATCATAGTCAATATACCCTCGCTCTCTCAACCAGGTCTTTCCATAAACTTAGAAGTCTGCCCCCCACAGTTATCTTCCTTGGCAGACAGCAGGTCAGTGTTAGTTTCCAGGCAAAGGGACCTCTACTGAGACATTCACAGATGCCCAGGGACAGGAGTTACGGCGTTTCTAAGGTTGTTGAGCCATAGCTCTTGAGAGATAGAGAATAAGGGTATCCTGGGTTCTCTCTGCCTGCCGATAGGAAAGTGCCGTCCCAACCTAACCTCACACTAACCTTAAAGCATGCCTATTCTTCACCTGCCAGTGTACTAATAATAGGTCTGTGTCTTAAAGTCGTCACTGGGCACTGTGCCCTCCCTGTCTTGCTCCTATGGCCTTGGACCCTTGTGTTGTCACGACAAACGGTTCAGCTCCTTACCGCTTGCTCTAGGAATGTGCTTTTGAACAATGAGAGGAATTTCTTTATCGCTTCAAGGCTCCTGAAGGAGAAGAGTTTCTAGAATAGAAGAAGAAGCATGGAGAAGTTAGCAGTGGGACAGGATTTTTAGAGTGGAAACAGAACAGTAAAGAACACAGGAAATAAAAAGCATGACCCTCAGGTTGTGTGTGAGGTTACCATAGAAATCTTTACCCCCTCCTTCCCTCTGAGCAGCATTTCACCTTTAGGACCCTGGGTAGGGGCTGGAGCAGGTCTCACAGCCCTTACATTTTGTGTGTGCACACACGTGTGCACACATGCTTGTGTGTGCACGCACACATGCCATGACACGCTTGTGGAGGTCAGAGGATGACTTTCAAGAGTCGATTCTGTCCCTCCACTGACAACTCTGTTGTGCCCAAGTTGCAAAGTCCCCCCAGAGACCACCAGGAAGACAGACCCCACTGAATTGCAAAAGCAAAGTTTAATGATAGTTCATCCGCCCATGACAGGGACCCCCATCTAGCAAGCTGACGCAGCAGCCTCCAGAGGGAGTGAAGTTCCCTGCCTACTGCTAGGTTTTAAAGACAAATGTTACAGGATTAAATCAGTAGGTACAGGTTGGTTTCTAATTGGTTGACATTTGGGAACAATCAGGAGAATTTCTCAAAGTCATATTTTGGCATGAAATACCCGTGTACCAATTATTTTCATTGGTCAGTGCTGAGAGGGAACATCCTGTGGTTTCTATGGCTTTGTCTTGTTACTTGCAGGTGACCTGTTGTACATAGATGCCAATAGTTTTCAGAACCGTATCCTGGAGACTACAGGGGAGGTTTTGGTCCCCCCTGGAGTTTCTTTTGTGGCCAAACAGTTCCCAGGAACCAAGTATCTAGGAGGCTGGGGGTGGGGGGCTTGGACTTTCTTTGTATTCAGGTTTGGCCCTAGACTCATGGAGGCCACAGGATCTGGAGTTTCCTTGTGTCAGAGGCCTATGGCTCTTTCCTGTATCCTGTCATGGCTGCTAAATCAGGGGGCTGAGTGAGGGTCTGGTCCCTTTATTTGTAAATTATTAGAAGTGAAGCCTTTGGGTTTAGTTTACCCCTTTCAAACTCCAGGGATCAAACTTAAGTCTCGGGCTGCTCTGCTTTTACCTGCTGGGCCATCTATGGGGTCCTTATGACTTCCTTTATAGTCACCACGGTTACCTCTGGGGACATGTGACAGGAAGCAAGGGGCGTCAAATCCACACCTCTGAATTTCAAACGCTGTGAGGGCAAGCTATTTAGAGAGAGATTTAGAAATGATTTGTTATTGATTTCTCTAGGAGCTGACAATAATTTTAGATTCTGGGCATCACTGTTGCCATAGTAACAGTGGCATTAAGGATGTAAATGATAAGGTTATTATTTTACTGCTTTTAAAATATTTATTATGCTGGGTCTGGTGACAGACACAGACCTCCAAGCACACACCTGCGGATGCAGAACTCAGCAGGCCTAGAGGCCAGAGGATTTCAAGTTCATGGTCAAGGTCAAGTTTTGCTATGCGCAAGATCCCGTCCGCACACAAAACAAAACAAACACAGAAAATTCCCACTGTTTCACACGCCTCGGGGCCTTCAACTTCTTTTCAGGCTCCTTCATATTTTTATAGCAATTGACTATTTTTGAAAAGGCCCGCAAATATTTTTACGAGCACTAGTGAGTCCCGTGAAGTTTAACTAGGATGGTAGAGCAATTCTGAACCCAGCATGGTGATTATCCCAATGCCTACAGAGGTCTTCTGTCCACTCAGAACCCGAGAGAACTGTATTTGTGGGGCTGGGTTTCTCATGAGAAGCCGAGGCTCTCATCTAACTCTGAGAGCTGCCCTGGGTCTTTCAGAAAACCCTGCTGAAGCTGAGCTGCCACGCCTCCGTTCTTCAGCATGGGGCTCACCAGGTCTGGGACTGCGGGAGGACTTCTCTGACCTTCCGAGGGACTGCTCTGCCCTGCTCTCCGCGGTCCTGGGGTTAGGTGGAATGCCTTTTTTCTAAAAGTCACCAGCAGGGAGATGTTACTTGGGCTTGTGTCACTCTGACCAGAACTCTGAATCACAACCCAGCGGTTTCTCGTGGCTCAGTTCCCATGGCCATCCGAGGTGTTTGCCCCCGCATCTCCCCTTTGGGGACACTCAGAGCATCAGCCCCAGGTTCCTACGGGAGGTTCTGAACACCTTCCATGCCGTAGCTCACGGGCTCCACGGTAGCTGCTTGAGGACAGTCTGTGTTCCAGACGCTGAGAACTGAGGCTCTTTACCCAAGGGGAAGGCCACCAAACCAGAGTTTGATCCCAGGCCAACTGGCCTGCAGGACACGCAACCTTCCTTTTTGCCTGGCCTCCGATGGCATTCCTTCAATGCCCGAAGGCCTTCCAACAGTGCCATTTCCGTGGCATGCCGATGTCTAAAATGGAACCTGTCTGTCAGCGGGGAGGGTGGAGTGCTGGCCTCCATGGCTTGGAGGGATTCTGCACGACTCACCTAATATTGAGCAGCATTGGGCAGATGCAAGTGTCAGAGCCCAGCCAGTGGAGCAAAGGTTTGGGAGGCTTCTCACAGTGACCGGCAGGGAGCTGGCATGCTGAGTGGTGCGGCTAGCTAGGGCCAGTCTGGAAGCCTGCAGGGCGGACTGCAACAGGCAGGCTGAGGGTCTCAGCTGCCGCTGCCCACCGGTAGTTTCTTCTCCAGGGAATCCTCAGGCCCTTCCGGTCTATCCTTGCCGATGGGCACCGGTGATGGGAGTTTTCACATCTGCAAAGGTTTTGCTGCTTGAGTGTGTTGCTGAGAACCGTGGCCAGGCCGAGCAGACACAGCAAAAATCAAACAACGAAAACCCAGTCGCTGTGAGTTTTCCCCCTTTCTCTTTGCCTGTTTCTCATGTGTCAGAGGCAGGGGGTTGACTGAGGAGAGACTGAGAGGAATAAAGCGATGCTACCAGGATCTACTAAGCCTGCTTCGGGAAGACTGAGTCACAAAAGCAGAATTTAGCTAAAGGTGTGCCTGAGGCTGAGGAGCACACCGAGCAAGCTTAAGATCGCCGAGGGAAGGTTTTCTGTGAAGATTGTTCGCCAACAGGCCGCCGCACAGGACAGTGGGCGTGGCCCCCTTTGAAGTACCCAGCCAAGTCCAGTGTACATGAAGCTCCCAGAGACTGGCTCCTAAGCGGCTTGCACACCACGCTGGTGGTGTGGTGGAATGGGAGGGAAGGCCCAAGCCATTGAGAAATGACGTCAGGGCAGCAGACTTGCTGCGAGGTCCTGGCCGTATCTTTTGCTTCCATGACACTCAGCACCGAAGACGCTGGGTAACTGCCTGTCTTCCCGTACCCCACCCCCCACCGACTTGATCTTGTCTCCAGCATGTGACAGTTGTATATGGCTCACATGCATTGCCTGATTTTGATTTTTTTCCTTTGGTCCTGCTGCTTATCCAAGGATGTTAGAGATCAGGTCCCAAAATCAATTAGGCAGGATTTCCTGTAGTCCAGGCTAGCCTCAAACTTGTTATCTCCCTGCTGCTGCCTTCCAAGAGCTGGGGTTGGACATGTCTGAGTGACACTCAGCCATAGTTGAAAGGTTTTGATGGATTTGTAGGAGGAACATCTCTGTGCATCTCTGATATTTCAGGGTCAGACAAAGGGATGGATGCTGGCTTGGGGTGTGCCGTGGCCCTCCATACTGTGTCCCAGATTGCCTTCTAAACGTTTACAGCTTTTGCTCCTACCAGAATCATGGGAGATGATGGGATTGGCTCCTTTTCTCCCCCCTTTCCCTCCCTAAGGCACTTTGGTCTATAGTTTTCAGTATTAATCGATTGGTGGGGATTACCGCAATATAAAACCACATGTCTGGATCTTGAATTCAGTAATTCTCAGGTTACTTGTAGTAGTCAGCCCTCAGTTGGCTATAGATGATCACAGCCATGTGTTTCAGAGCCAGGAAGCAAGACTGCCATTTACCTGGCCTCGATGCTCTCCCTGTGTCACTCCAGCTGCTCCCACGCTGGCTGCCTCTGCACCATGTGCCTTCCGTACACGTGTGTTAGCGTAATGCACGGTCAGGTGACAGCAATGAACCTTCAGACATGGATGGACACACGTGATTCAAGCTAATATCTGGATTATCTTCCCTTTTAAATCGAGTGACAACGATAACGCATGAGATGACAGTTTGCATCTGAAACGCATCTTCCTGTGCTTTCTCACTCACAGGTAAAGGGCTGAGAGAGCGCCACAGCCTCGCTCTTATGGTTTCCAGTCACACGACCCCAGGGACAAAACTCACAGCTCCCCGACCCATCAACTCTCTTGTAACGGAGTTCCCAAGGAAACGGAAAGGCAGCGATTCAGAGTCGGCCCAGTAAGTGCACGTTGTTCTGACTCCATGGATTCTGTTGGTCAGAAAGAGGGAGCCATGTTTACGTCACCATTCCTAAGTCTGCAGCAGCACGGCAAACTGGTCACCACCTGCCGCTACCCGTCGCTGACCTTTGCCTTCCAGGGCTGGTGACGATGGAGGTCCGGGAGGGTCAGTTAGGGTCTGGAGGAGGTGTGGGTGCATAGTCAGAACAGAATGCTCACGCTCACAGCCAGCTCCCCTCCTTCCTCAGCAAAATACTCTGCTGGGAGCAAAACATTCAGCAATGGTTGGCTTCTGGTCACTTCACCTACCGCCCAACTCACCAGTCACAGAATAACCAGGCCTTGGTGATCCGCAGTCAGTTTAATCTTACAAAGCTCTTGTTTCCGTAGTTACTGAGCCAGGTGGATGGTGAAGACAACGTTACTCGTTTGTTTGTCTTTGTGTTGCTGGGGATAAACCCGGGACCCCAAGTGTGTCAGGCAAGGTTTGTCTTTCTGAGCCACACCCCAGATCCTCACGGGAGGATCCTAGGCAGGTGCTCTATCTACCGCTGAGCCACACTTCATCCTGCCCACCCCCGGCCCCCGGATGCACCTTGTAGCCTAAGATATTCTTTAGTTACTCCCCCAAAGCTAGATTTATGCGGTAAAATCGTTTGGGATGGCACGGTATGTGAAGGGGAATGTTGGGGACAGTCTCCCGCCATACCTGAAGGGCAAAGCTCTGAGTTAGAGAGGAGCATGCGAATAGCCTTCCTAGGTCTGTTTAACTCAGTTCTCACCCAGGGTTCTCCAGGCTTTTAGCTTTGATCCCCAGGACAACGGCGCTGGCCAACTGCACATGACTGGGAGATTTCTTCCTGATTTGACTGTCTGTGTTCTCCACTCCTCTCCCATTAATGAGATGCACAGATGGACAGATGGACAGATGGACAGTTACCTTCCTCTTGAGTTATCGTCTGATAACAAATGATAGTTCTCTACTAGGTTGGGTTTTTTTGTTTGTTTGTTTTTTGGTTTGGTTTTATTTTTTGCTTGTGTGTGGGGTTTCTGTTTTTGTTTTGTTTTTGTCTTATTTTGCTTTTTGAGACACGGTTTCTGTATGTGACACTACTTAGGATGGAACTCACCATATGGCACTTGTAGCTCAGGCTGGCCTTGAACTCCATAATTCAGGGAGGGTTTTTCCTTCCTCGGTTAAGCCTCTCTAAGAATAGTCTCATAGGCATGCCTGGGGGTGTGTCTCCTAGGTGACTCCAAATCCTGTCAGGTGACTATGAGATTCACCATCCGAGGGGTGGCCCAAGGCCTCCTTCCAAGCCAGAACTCATGACAGAACCAAGGTGGAAAACTTCCCCAGGACCCTTCACCTCCCTTCCTTCAACAAGAATAGAAGTAGCAGCACCCAGTGGCATCAGGCAAGTTAGTCCGCCTGGTCTCCCCGCTACGGGAAGAGGGTGGGGCGCGTGAAGGAAGCTGGCTTTGCTCACTGAGCTCCTCAGAGTTTCCGCCCTGTCCCAGCTCCCCTATCATTTTCCATGGTATTTCAAACTGCAGTTCTTGCTAAGTGCTGGATGCGTGTAATATCTCTCTCAGAGTGAGAAAGTCAGTCCATGGACACATGAGCAGCTTCATTCCCACAGCCCCAGACCGTTCAATACTTGTAGAGAAGACCCCGTGAGAACGGTCACTTCCTGCGGCACTGCTGGCTCTGGGTAGACAGCTGATTCTTTCAAAGGGTCTGTGACCAAGATCTTGTGCTATGTAATCATTCAGCATTTAGTACGAACCTGCTATGTGGGACTAAAGAGATGACTCAGCAGTTAAAAAACGCTTGTTGCTCTTTCAGAGAACTCAGGTCTGGATCCCAGCACCCAGAAATGACTCACAACTGACTGTAACTCTAGCTCTAAAGAATCTGATATTCTCTTCTGGCCTCCATGGGTACTCGATACAACACACACACACACACACAGAGAGAGAGAGAGAGAGAGACAGAGAGAGAGAGACAGAGAGAGAGAAACAAAAAACAAAGTCTAAAACATATATATATATGAGTGTTTGCCTGTATGTATATATATACACACACACATATATATATTTGTATATATATGTGCACCACATGTGTGCAGTTCCCACAGAGGCCAGAAGGGGTGTAAGATCCCCTGGAACTTGAGTTACAAGCAGCTGTGAGTCACCTGTGGGTGCTAGAAACTAAACTCAAGTCCTCTACCAGAACAGCAATGCTGTTAACCACTGAGCCATTTCTCTAGCCCTCAAACAAACAAACAAACCAAAGAGCGACCTACTATGTGACATTTGGTAGAGCACGAGGCTGAGAACCAGATGGGACACATTGTGTTTCTAAAGGGAAGCAGTGTGGGATGGGTGAGGCGTGCTGAATGGCAATTGCGGCAGTGGACGTCGTAGAGCAGCTGAGGAAGGCGTTAGAAGGAAGGTCAATTTAAACGGCTTTGGAAACAATGCGGGGCCCCAGCGTGAGGCTGATGATGGTTGGAGGGGAGGAGACATGATCGTGGAATGTTATAAAAACTATAGAGCTTCATGACGGTTTGACCCTTTGAGAGAAACAACAAGGAGTCTCTGTGTGCTACCCACCCCGGGCCACCACACTGAGGGGAGAGCCCGCAGGAGTGGAGGGGGGAGACCGGAGGGCGCAGATGTGAGGATGCCTTTGGTTTGGCGTTTCTGTAGTTGCAGGGTTTCTTGGGAAGCATTCGGGGGCAGAGCGGCTTCCGAAGGCTGGAGGGAGGAGCGTGGCAGACAATAGAACACAGCCAGGGCGCCTTAGGAAGGAGTGCATTCCCCTAGGTGCTCTGTGCCTGGGGAGACGGGCACCAAGCAGGGGACTGTGATGACACTGGTTTCTAGGGAGGAGGGAAACTGAGTCAGTCATCTAAGGTGCTGAGCTGAGCAAGGAGAACCGAGGACAGGGAGCGGAGGGATTGCAGACGCCAGGAGTGAAGGAAGACCTCCAGGCCAGTGGGGGCGCTCAGCGGGTAGAGACCTCACAAGCCTGGCAACCTACTTGAGGTCCCGCCTCAGAACCTGGGAAAGGTGAAAAGAGACCCAGCTCCACAGGGCTGTCATCTGAACTCTGTGTGCTGCGGCATGATGACGATGGTGATGGTGATGATGGTGATGATAATGTTGACATTGATGGTGATGGTGGTGATGGTGATGATAATGTTGACATTGATGGTGATGGTGGTGATGATGGTGATGATAATGTTGACATTGATGGTGATGGTGATGATGGTGATGATAATGTTGACATTGATGGTGATGATGGTGATGGTGGTGATGATGGTGATGATAATGTTGACATTGATGGTGATGATGGTGATGATGGTGATGATGATGGTGATGATAATGTTGACATTGATGGTGATGGTGATGGTGGTGATGATGGTGATGATAATGTTGACATTGATGGTGATGGTGGTGATGATGGTGATGATAATGTTGACATTGATGGTGATGATGGTGATGATGATGGTGATGATGGTGATGATAATGTTGACATTGATGGTGATGATGGTGATGATAATGTTGACATTGATGGTGATGGTGATGATGGTGATGATAATGTTGACATTGATGGTGATGGTGATGATGGTGATGATAATGTTGACATTGATGGTGATGGTGATGATGGTGATGATAATGTTGACATTGATGGTGATGATGGTGGTGATGGTGATGATAATGTTGACATTGATGGTGATGGTGGTGATGATGGTGATGATAATGTTGACATTGATGGTGATAGTGATGGTGGTGATGATGGTGATGATAATGTTGACATTGATGGTGATGATGGTGGTGATGGTGATGATAATGTTGACATTGATGGTGATGATGGTGATGATAATGTTGACATTGATGGTGATGGTGATGATGGTGATGATAATGTTGACATTGATGGTGATGGTGATGATGGTGATGATAATGTTGACATTGATGGTGATGGTGATGATGGTGATGATAATGTTGACATTGATGGTGATGATGGTGGTGATGGTGATGATAATGTTGACATTGATGGTGATGGTGATGATGGTGATGATAATGTTGACATTGATGGTGATGGTGGTGATGATAATGTTGACATTGATGGTGATGGTGGTGATGATGGTGATGATAATGTTGACATTGATGGTGATGGTGATGGTGGTGATGATGGTGATGATAATGTTGACATTGATGGTGATGATGGTGATGATGGTGATGATAATGTTGACATTGATGGTGATGGTGATGATGGTGATGATGGTGATGATAATGTTGACATTGATGGTGATGGTGGTGATGGTGATGATGGTGATGATAAATAGTCATCCTAAATGGAATAAAAATTGTAAAAACCGTCCTAGGGTAGTGGGCAGAAGGGTAGTCGGCTTTTCCTTGGCTTGTGCTGTGGAGAGAGGGCCTTGATGTCACACAGCTCAGGCTGGCCTTGAACTCGAAGTGGTTTTCCTGCACTCATCTCCGGAGTGCGGGGGTTGCAGGCTAGAGTCCCCATGATTTTAAACATGGAGAAGTTTCAGTGGAGCCCACGTGCTTTCAGGGAACCAGTTGGAAACGAGGACTTAGGGTTGAAAGCCACAGCAACAACACTAGAATCAGCACCATGTAGATCAACACTTTTTTGTTTTTGTTTTTGTTTTGTTTTGTTTTTATACAGGGTTTCTCTGTATTGTTTTGGAGGCTGTTCTGGAACTCACTCTGTAGACCAGGCTGGCCTCGAACTCACAGAGATCCACCTGCCTCTGCCTCACAAGCGCTGGGATCAAAGGCGTGCGCCACCAGATCAGCACTTTCTAGACCCAGCCTGGGGCGGGATGGGAATGGTGTAAGGGTAAGGGCGGCAGCCAAGCAAGTGTCAGGTCACCTCTAATGAGAAGAGGCCTCTCCCTGTCCCACAACGGGAGGGATGAAGCCACAGCCCTCAGGCCACAGATGCCTTGGCTCGGGAAGCTCATGGTCAAAGGCGTTGGATGTAAGATGACTTCACAAGTGCTTTCCCCAGAAGCTCCAGATTCCCACATACATGCAGCTGCTGGAAGAGCATCCTGAGTGCCTCTGGGCAACGGGGTGAACGTTAGCCAAGGAGGGTCTTCCTCCCTCCCAGGGAAGCTCACAGCCAGATGGAAAAGCGGCGGAGAGACAAGATGAACCGCCTGATCCAGGAGCTGTCATCTATGATCCCTCCACTCAGCCCGGCTGCCCGAAAACTGGACAAGCTCAGCGTCCTGAGGAGGGCGGTGCAGTACTTGAGGTCTCTGAGAGGTAAGGATGACAGCTGCCCCGGGCTGGGCATCATCTGTGTATCAGAGAGCTCTGTTACTCTGTGCTTGGTCCTGGCTGTGGTATATGTCTGTCCGCCTTACCACACCCATGCAGAATTGTACCCATTGTCTTCATGTGAGAAGATAGGCTGTCAGATACCAGAATCCCAACATGGGGGTGCAGGCCAGCAGATTAGGAGCTCAAGGCCATCCTTGGCTACAAATGGAGTTCAAGGCCAGCCTGGGCTACACGAGACCTTATCTCAAAGGAAACAGAGTATAACATGCACGACGCCCCTACTTTGAGGTTCCTGTTTAGATCTCTGCCTGCAAAGCCAAGCACAGGGCAAGGGTTTCAGAGGACAGGGTGTCCTGTGGACCCCGGCAGCAACCTTCCCAGGCTGGGGTTGCTGGAGAGAGCAGAGCTCTCTGGGACTTCCTTTTTTTGTGCTTGGAGATCCGGGTTCCATCGGTCTGTTGAGAAATGAGAGTCTCTTTCTACCCATTCCTGAGGCTTGCGTAAGTTACTTGGTTTCCCTGGAGTCTTTAGCAATGAAAACTTTTGGGCTCCTCCGGGGTCATTTGATTCCATCCCAGAGATTACCCAAGTACCTTCATATTAGCCTTGCCCCAGGGGGATGAGTCAGTCAGCTGATTCAACACACATGAATTGAACACCAGCTACAGGCCTATTCTCTGAGAGAGAGAGAGAGAGAGAGAGAGAGAGAGAGAGAGAGAGAGAGAGAGAGAGAGAGAGAGAGAGAGAGAGAGAGAGAGAGAATGAGGCAAAGCCCCTGGATGTCTCTGTTGATAAGGGGGTAAGTAGCCCCACAGTGAGGTCATCGTCACTTGGTGTGGGGACAGTAAGATGGCTCATCAGGTAAATGTGCTTGTCAACAAGCCTGATGACCTCAGTTTGGTTCCTGAGACCCATGTGGTAGGAGGACAGAACTGAGCGCCCCCGTGCACAAATAAATAAATAAATGTTTTAAAAATATAACAATAGCCGGGCGTTGGTGGCGTACACTTTTAATCCCAGCACTTGGGAGGCAGAGGCAAGTGAATCTCTGTGAGTTCGAGGCCAGCCTGGCCTACAGAGTGAGATCCAGGACAGCCTCCAAAACAATATAGAGAAACCCTGTCTCGAAAAAAAAAGAGTAAAAAATATATAACAATAAAACCCCCAGTGTGGTACGTGTCCCAGCAGAGGTGGGTGCTGGGAGGAACTATGGGAACCGAGCAGGGCAGACACTCTCTAAATCCATCGACATTTCCTGGAGCTGACGTATTTGGTGCCATAGCCCTTTCTCAGCCATCATGTGATCAGCTGCTTGTCCACACAGCCTGACCGAGCCTGAGCCAGCACAGTGCATTAGTGAGACAGCTTAAGACACTTGGTTCTGTGCTCCAGTGTGCTTGGCACAGCGCAGCCGTACTGGTTCTGCAAAACTTCAGAGGGCACCATGTGGATTGTGTTATAGGCACACCAGGCAATGGGCACCCTGTGGATTGTGTTATAGACGTGACAGGCAGAAGGGTGGCCTATGAATGTCTTATTTGGATTCAGCATTTGTCTATTTGCAAACTAAGGGATCCAGGAATAAATGTAACCCTGTCCCCTCTCCCCACTCAGTGCCTGATAAAGTACACCTCATTGTAGAAACGCAAGTCAAGGGCTTGGGTGTCATGAAAATGTTTGCATTCTCACAAATGTTTTAAACACTTCTTAGTTTGTTTTTGTGTCATTGAGATAGAGTTTGAACTCAATGTAGCAAGACTGGTTTTGACCTTCTGCTTCTCCTGTCTCTGTGTGCTAAGTGCTATGGTTATGTGTGCATCCTATACCCAGCTCTAATAGTTCATTGTCATCACCATCACTGTCACCCTATACCCAGCTCTAATAGCTTATTGTCATCAGTCTCACTATTCCCTATACCCAGCTCTAATAGCTTATTGTCATCAGTCTCACTATTCCTTATACCCAGCTCTAATAGCTTATTGTCATCAGTGTCACTATTCCCTATACCCAGCTCTAATAGCTTATTGTCATCAGTGTCACTGTCACCCTATACCCAGCTCTAATAGCTTATTGTCATCAGTCTCACTATTCCTTATACCCAGCTCTAATAGCTTATTGTCATCAGTGTCACTTTTCTCTATACCCAGCTCTAATAGCTTATTGTCATCAGTATCACTATTACTATTATTTGGCTTTTCAATAGAGTTTGTCTCTGTAGACCAGGCTGGCCTCGAACTCACAGAGATCCGCCTGCCTCTGCCTCCCAAGTGCTGGGATTAAAGGCGTGTGTCACCTCTGCCTGGCTTCAGGTTGTTTTTTTTTTTTAAGCCTATGAATCCACAAAGTTTGTGAAGAGTTCTAGAATTTTCCCCTTCAGAGTAATTTACTTGAGTTTTAGTAAACGGAGGAATCATCAAATGTGGGTATGGTTACATTTTCTTCTCTGAAGCCCTTACTCTCCATGTATTTGAATATTAAAATAAATAGGTTTAGTGGTTCACATCTATAATCTCCTTATTCTGGAGTGTGAAGCGGGAGAACCGTCATGAGTTCAAGGCCAGCCTGGGCTGTAGAGAGAGTTCGGGGATGTAGAGCGCTTGCTTAGAACACGTGAAGCTCTGGGCTGGATTCTCAACACCACATAAACTGGGCGTGGTGGCACACGCCTGTAAGCCAAGCTCTTGGGAAGTGGGGCAGGAAGATCGGGAGTTCAAGGCCAGCCTGGAATACGTGAGGCCCTGTTTAACAAAAAGAGGAAGAAGGGAGGGAAGGGGAAAGAGGGGGACAGTCCCGAGAGTCCCGAGACGCCGTTCGCTCGCGGACAGCGTCCGCCCAGCAAATTTCTTTCTCTGTGTTCTCGGTAAATTTGACCTATTTGTTTTCAGGCATGACAGAGTCTTTCTTAGGAGAGAATTCTCGACCTTCATTTATTCAGAATAAGGAGCTCAGTCACTTAATCCTCAAGGTGAGTGGCTGCACGTGGATTTGGAGGGGGCGGGGTTCAGTTCACTCTGTGGTAGCCATCAGAGAGTCTGTGTCTCACATTTCCTTAAACTAGACATGGAAGATAAGGACATAGACTTGTGAGCTCACGCCTCACTAGTTTGGGAGAATGGACACTTCCCAAAGGAAGAGCAATGGGCGTCTCCCCTGCAGACCCTCACACACGAGATCCCCTCACACCCCAGATCCCCTCACACCCCAGATCCCCCCATACCCGAGATCCCCCCACACCCCAGATCCCCTCACACCCGAGATCCCCTCACACCAAGGATCAGCCGTGGTTGCCACCTCCTCAGGACCACCGGCCTGGAGTCCAGTTCTTAGAGCTCTGTCATCAGAAGACAGGAATGACTCATTCAGAGCTCTGCTGTTGCGGCCCCATCTTCTCACAGGCGGGGCTTTCAGAAAATTGGTGTTTGATTGACAGTCTTGCCACGAGCTAAGACATAGGTGCATGTCATTGTTCTTCTTCCTTCCTTCCTTCCTTCCTTCCTTCCTTCCTTCCTTCCTTCTTTCCTTCCTTTCTTTCTTGGATTTTTGAGACAGGTTTCTCTATAGCTCTGGCTATCCTGTAGACCAGGCTGGTCTCGAACTCACAGAGATCCACCTGCCTCTGCCTCCCGAGTGCTGGGACTAAAGGTGTGTGCCACCACCACCTGGAACATTTTTCTTTAACTTGAAAAAAAAACTTTCTCTTTTATTTTAACGTAATCTTTAAGATTTACTTGTGTGTGTGTGTGTGTGTGTGTGTGTTGGGGGGGTGCCCGGGAGGACAGACAGATCTCTTGGAGCCCGAGTTGTAGGCATTTTGAATCACCTGCTGTGGGTGCTGGAAACTGGTGAGCCGTATCCCCCAGCTCCTGGGGAGTTAATTTAAAATATTTTATTATATTGATCTGTGGGGGGATGTATGTCATGGTGTGTGTGTGTGTGTGTGTGTGTGTGTGTGTGTGTGTGTGTGTGTGTGAACCAGAGAACAGCTGGTGGGACCTGGTTCTCTCCATCCACTTCATGGGTCCCAGGATTCACGCATGTGTGTAGATGAGAGAACAGCTTGGCAGCCAGTGTCTGTCCCCACTCAGCCATCTCACTGGCCCTGAACAGAGATTTTGTGGGTGTGGAGCGATCTTTAAGTTGGAAAAACATTCAGAGTGATTTGGAGGCCCAGTCACAGGTCACCAAGGGTTTTTCTCATCATCACTCCCTGCTACCCCAGCACACGTCTGCGTAACTCTTCTCCTGTTTGTTGTGAGAATGAGCGTGGGGACAGTAACTCGGTGTCAGGATTCTTGTCTAACATGAACAAAGCCTTGGGTTCGGGGCCCCAGGCTCTGCACAAACCAAGTGTGGTGGCGGATGCTTGGGATCCCCGCACTTGGGTGGAGAAGGCAGGAGAGTTGGAAATCCAAAGCGGTCATAGACTACGCAGCAAGTTTGAGTCCAGTCTGAACCACGCACGAGATGATTACAAGAGAGAGAGAGAGAGGGCTAACCTGTGGAACACCACCCTTGTGGCCCCGTCCAGCTGTCCCTTTCTGGGCAAGTGGCTTACCAGAGGGGTTTTCTGGTTGGGCAGAACAGAAATAGAGGCTATATTAATATATTTTAAAATGTATTTTTAAATAGGTGGCATTATAATTCAAAAAGAGTAGAAAGGGTTCCTAACAAGAGTGTCCAGCCTGGAGAGATGACTTAGAGGTTAAAAGCACTGGCTGCTCTTCCAGAGGATCCAGGTTCAATTCCCAGCACCAACTCGGTGGCTCACAACCATCTATAACCCCAGTTCCAGGGGATCTGATTGATGCCTTCTTCTGCCTCCATGGATACCAGGCACACACTTGATGCACACGCACATACTCACACACATGCACAAGCACGCACCCGCACGTGCACACACACACACACACACACACAGAGTCAACCCTTTCTCTCCCAGCTTGCACAGCATGAGGCCATAGCGGCTGCTGTAAGTGACAGTGACGTGTTTTGAGGTCTCTACAGGGTCTCTCTGCGTAACCAAGTGGCGTTTGGCAAAGGTGACTTTATTTTAAAATGTTATCCAAAGTCGTGGATTTTACCATAACATTTTTTACATGTGTATGTTTATACTTTGGTCATTTTGCCCTTCCCATCCTCCCCTGCTCTCTCCCTCACCCCAGATGGTCCCCACCTCTGTTTCCCGTCACACGTTCCGTTAACTTCTCTTTTCCTCCCTTCACCCTGCAAAGTCTCTTCTTCCCTCTCATGGCCCGTGGTCCATGACCCTGCAACACGTGTGACGTGGTTTGGTGATGCCATACCAGCCAAATAATTCTGTAGATAAAGTTTTCATGTCAAAAGCTTAAAGAATTGAATTTGACGTTCTCTATATGTCACATTAAAACATTTAGACTGAGCCGGGCGTTAGTGGTGTATGTTTTTAATCCCAGCAGGAGGCAGAGGCAGGGGGATCTCTGTGAGTTTGAGGCCAGCCTGGTCTACAGAGTGAGTTCCAGGACAGCCTCCAAAACAATACAGAGAAGCCCTGTCTCCAAAAACAACAAAACAAAACAAAACAAAATTTTAGACTGAAATTTGCCAGCTATCTTAAAAGCTCTGTCTTAATTGCCACAGTGATTTCCTCAAAAAAAAAAAAAACCAACTCGGTTTTGGTTTTGTTTTAACCCTAGACAGCAGAAGGCTTCCTGTTCGTGGTTGGATGTGAAAGAGGGCGGATTCTCTTCGTATCTAAGTCCATCTCCAAAACCCTGCAGTATGATCAGGTACCAAACCACGGTGTCCTCCACATGGTCCGGATTCCTTTTTTTAACAAATCCTAATTTGAAGCTGTGTCTGGTCCCTTCCTTCCCTTTGCTGCTAAGTCAGAGCTTAGAGAGAAATGGGGGACAGTGGGAAGGGGTGAGTTCTTATGACTCTCTTCGGTGCCTCCTTCGGTCATTGAGAGGTGATGTCATTTTCTGAACCTTAGCTTTGCCCGCTGCCAGGATCGGTGCCTGCAGTCAGGATGAAGTGACCAGATAAGATGTCACAGTGGTCCCTTCTAACACCGCTCGTTGCTGAGTTATCATCACTGCTCATTGCTGAGTTATAGGCATTGAATAAGAGCTTTGATCCAGCTGCTGGCAACACCGCGAAGCCACGTTGGTCATGTAACCAGCCTGTTACTCATCTCCTCCGAGTTAGACTCCTCTTGCCTCAGGCAGCTGCTCAGAAGCTGTCCCCGGAGCCAGCCTGCAGAGCACAGCTTTGAGGGGAATGCCTCCCCCTGGCTTCTGCTGCTTTCCATTTTAGGTTAGCAGCTAAGGAGACAAATGACCGAAGGGGACGTCTGAGCCTCTGTGTGGGAGGCTCAAGACCAAAGACAGCAGGGAACACAAAGGGCATAAGACCAGGTGATCCATCTCCTAGTGGGAGCTAAGTGGGAAATAGCATACACACACACACACACACACACACACACACACACACGAATGCACATGCGTACACTTAAATGCATATACACAAGTGTGTACACATGCACGCACACAAACGCATGTATACATAGGTAACTAACAATTCAAGGTAACCTTAAATTCCAGATAAGTGAGACAGGGCTGATTCCACTGGGTACTGATTGTGTACCTGTGGCCGTTGAAGACCCCCTGCCTGCTCAGGAGAATGTTGGGTTTAGTTCTTGGCTTTTCAGAACCAGGAACCTGATGCTTCTGGGTGAGTTCTGGACATCAACCAAGCATTCAGCAGTACAAAAGGCAGATCGCTGGGGTCTTAGTATAAGCCATCTGTTTTGTCTCTTGTAGAACATGTACTGGAAACCTTTGGGAGAGGGTGGGCTTCTCATCAAAGTGGGGTATTTGTGGGGTCTTTACGATGACAAGAATACAGGAATTTCAGGCTATGAGTCACGAGTCTAGGGTTCAAGAAGCAGTTGGCTGAGCAGCCGCAGCCACAGAACTTTTCTTCCAGAGGGCAGGGGACAGGCGGGTGCCTGAGAGCCCAGTCAGTGCTCAGGAGGCTGAGGGAGGCAGGTCCTGAGTTTGGGGTCAACCTGGATTAATACTTAGAGGCAAGAGAACAAAAACTAAAGAGATAAGAAAGGGACCCTTTCACCTGGGCAGGTCCCGTTCACTCGACGATATCAGCAATGACTGCCAGCATTTGCTCTGATCAGAGTCCAGTGCTAGGGACGCCCCAGTTGACCCTCACCTAGAGGAGAGGATCCAGGGGCATAGGAAGTGAGCTTCTGACAACAGCCATGGCCAACTTCTCGGTGATGTGCCTTCTACTGGTCTCTTCTTTCCTTCCTTCCTTCCTTCCTTCCTTCCTTCCTTCCTTCCTTCCTTCCTTCCTTCCTTCCTTCTTTCCTCCCTCCCTCCCTCCTTCCTTCCTTCCTTCCTTCCTTCCTTTCTTTCTTTCTCTTTCTACTGGTCTCTTTCTTTTCTGACTTCATTTCCTTACTCTCCGATAAAACGCTTGGCTCGAATTCTTACCTCAGGATTGCTTCTGGGGAAACCCAAACTGGATCATTATTTGGAACTCTGAGATGTGTGTGTGTGTGTGTGTGTGTGTGTGTGTGATCAGATCAGTGTGCGGTTGAATTGAAAGTCTAGATCTTCTGTTTGGCATTATTTATGTTAAAAAATTTGAGACCTAATACACAACTGGGAGGGAGGGAGGGAGGGAGGGAGGGAGGGAGGGAGGGAGGGAGGGAGGAAGGAAGAAGAAACAAACCATGGATGACTTTAGGAATGTCAATGAATTTTACATAGGGCACGCCTGCATGTTGGGAGTTGAGGAGCAGGAAGTGGGCAGAACGTTGGGCTTGCATTTTCGCCACGTGTTGATTAATGGCGCAGCAGATGTCCTGGGCTTCGTTTTCTACTGTGACGTAATCCCTTGCCCTGTATCCCAAGTGATGAAGTTTATTATGGCTGGGAGATGCTCAGTCAGTACAGTGCTTGCTGTGTAAGCATGGGGACCTGAGTTTGGACGGCCACCCCCCATGTGTGTGGCAGTGTGCACCTCTGATCCCAACACTGAAGAGGCAGAAGCAGGATGATCCCTGGTCCTCTCTGGCCAGTTCTTCCTGCCTTACCAGTCAGCTCTAGGATCAATGTGCACTTGCTCACAGGTGCTTATACACACAGAGGAATGCACGCACACGCTCACACACAAACACATACATATTCAGAAAATGAAGATGAAATGTAAATCCTAATGCCTTAGAATCAACCCTGAATTGAGAGATATTAAGCAAGGTCTACACGGTAACAAGACTTACAGGAAAATCAGAAACCAGTGTTTGTATGTGGTTTATTTGTAGCTGTCCCGAAGGTTTCAAGTGCATTTTTACACTTTTATTTTGCATGTGCGGATGTTCTGTCTGCTTGTGTGTCTGTGCGTCACACATATGCACGCGTGCCACAGAAGCCCGAGAAGGGTGTCAGACCCTCTGGGACAGGAATACAGGCGGATGTGAGCCGCCCTGTGGGTCCTGAGTCTTTCCGGAAGAGCAGCAAGTACTCCTTGATGACTGAATCTTTCTCCAGCCTCAGAGTGCATTTTTGCTTGTTTGTTTTTACAAATGTCACCCAGGAGCCCAAGTTAATGTTCCATGGTGTGGTGCATGTATATTTGCATGCAGGGTAAGGAACATCCACCTTGTGGGGTGGAGATGTGTTACCTGTACTCTTTCCCGCCAGCCGCCTGGGTCCTGTCGCCACTTCAGCCCCCCGGGTAACACATGAGACACTTTATTAATTATAAACTGTTGGCCGGTGACTAGGATTTCTTATTGGCTAGCTCTGTCTTAAGTATTAATCCGTTACTACTAATATATGTACTTCTTCATGGTCTTACCTCATGGATGAATGCCAGACTATTGCCTGCAAGGTTTCATCTTACCAAGAACGCCAGACTCCTGCATCCTCTCCTCCCGGGATCACATGGCGACGTCTCTCTTATTACATTTCTCAGAATCCTCCTTGTTATCCTCCTTCTCAGGTCTTTGATGAGGTTGAAGATTAGACTGTCACAGTTACTGTTCTCTCTTCCTAGATAGAAATTTTAGGTACAAGACGTAAGCTTTCCAGCTTAGGGCAACTCTATAGCAATCTCTGTTATGTCTTTGCCCTAGGACTGGATATGTAGCTCTTACCACTTGCTCCTGTTGCTTCACTGGCGATAGGTCTTAACGGCGTATGTTCTTCTCCTTCTTCATACTTGGTATTTGCTACCTTTGTATATAGTATTGTATCAAGCCCAAATCTTTTTCCTTAGACTAAGAAGGGGATTGTAGTGAGATACCCACTCTGCCCTCACCTGTACAACTGACAGGTGTGGATGTGATGGAGGGTAGGACTAGGTCTGGAGTCCCGGATCCCATCGCTGTCTCTTGCTTCCGGTCGGGTCACAGAGGGCAGCCTGGGTGTGGATCCTCGGAGCTGGATCCTGCGGAGGTCACCTGCCACTTGTGTGAGTGCATTCTCCCCGAATAAACTTCACTTAACCTGTACCGAGTCCAGTGACTCTTGATTTCCCACGCAATGGACATGTAGCTCGATGGTAGAGCACTCTCCTGGCACGCACAAGGGCCTGGGTTTGATCCCCAGCACTGGGAGAAAAATCAGCCTCTAGCAAGGAACAGGTATTTATCTTGTGTGTGTGTGGAGAAATGTCTAAAAGTGACATAACTGATGGTGAGTGTGTGCCTGCTTTCTTCCACAGGGCAGCCTGGTGGGGCAGAATTTGTTTGACTTTTTACACCCAAAAGATGTTGCCAAGGTAAAGGAACAACTTTCTTGTGATGTTTCACCAAGAGAGAAACCCGTAGACACCAAAAGTGAGTTCTCCCTCCAGGGTGCTTACCTCTGTGCTGGGTGCTTTTCTGCAGATAAGATAAATGCCTATGACCAGGCAACCTAAGAAGAAAGGGCTTTATCTTTTAAGTTCATTCTTTCAGAGGGATAGAGTCAATTGTGGTGGGCATGACAGGGCATGGCGGCAGGGACAGGAAACAGGTTGATTACAGTTTCGTCCACACGTAGGAGAGAGAGAGAGAGAGAGAGAGAGAGAGAGAGAGAGAGAGAGAGAGAGAGAGAGAGAGAGAGAGAATTCCTTTACAGACATGTACAATATATTCACATGAAGAGGATGTGTGGGAATATATGATTGCTTATACTTTTCAATCCAAATGAAGCTTTTTTTTGTTTGTTTGTTTTTCGAGTCAGGGTTTCTCTGTGGCTTTGGAGGCTGTCCTGGAACTAGCTTGCTCTTGTAGACCAAGCTGGCCTCAAACTCACAGATATCTGCCTGCCTCTGCCTCCCAAGTGCTGGGATTAAAGGCATGGGCCACCAACGCCCAGCTCCAAATGAAAATTTATACGTCAATATTGTTTGTGGTTAAAAAAGTTGCTGGAGTTTTATTCTCTTTTGTATGTGGCCTAGATTTTCCTGGTATGGAGGATCTTGCACAATTGGGCTTGGGAAGTATGCATGTATTCATTATCCAAATATATTTAACTTGTGAAAATGCTGAGTGCCAAACAATTATTTATGCTATAGAAATGGTGATTTAGGGGCCAGAGAGACGACTTGGCAGGTATGAGCATGTATGACTCTTGCAGTGGACCCAGGCTCTGTTCCCAGCACACACAGTGCCACTCACTTTTAACTGTAACTCCAGCTCCAGAGGGTCTGATGTCCTCTCTTGACCTCCGTGGGCACACACAGGCACGCACATGGCACACATACATCCACTCAGGTAAACACACATACATAAAAATAAAAATTAATTCTTTTAAACATTAAAGGAAGAAAATGGCCTAGTCAGGTTTTAATTTTTTGTTTTTCTTTGTTTGTTTGTTTGTTTGAGGCAGAGTTTCGCTGTGTCGTTTTTTTGCTGGTCTGTAGACCAGGCTGGCCCTTGAACACACAGACATCCTCCTGCCTCTATCTCCCAGGTGCTGGAATTAGAAGCACGTGTCAATATGTCTGAGCCTAGCCAAATTTTTGGTACAGCATTTAGAGAGGTGAATCATGAATCCAAGGCTAGCTTGAGCTAAGTAAGAATCTCAAAAACAAAACAAGATAAATAAACAAACAAAAAACCAACTATGGAATAGTGGTGGGCTAAGCTAGAGATCATTGTTGCACTTGAGTTTTTCTTCATTTTTGAATTTCATCTCATTCCAATTAAACTGTATTGTCCACTCCCTCAAGAAAATATTAAGGTGAAGTGCAAGTGTTTTGAATTGTTGAGTATGGTGGTTCTTACCTGCAATTCCAACACACTAGTGTGGGAGTAAGCTTGGGAATACTGAAGTTCAAGGCCAACCTGGCTTACACTACTGGACTTTGTCTCAGAAACAAAACACTGCAAAGCAAACACAAACTGCATATATATGGCGGTGGTTAGGGACATTAGAAGGGGCTGAAGTGGTAATTCCACAGTTAGAGTCCTTGCTGCTCTTCCGGAGGACCTGAGTTTGTCCCCAGCACCCGCATCAGGCCACTCAAATCCACCTGCAACTCTGGCTCCAGGAGGTCTGGTTGATCTCTCTCTCTCTCTCTCTCTCTCTCTCTCTCACACACACACACACACACACACACACACACCACAGATTATTCTCTTTTTTCATTTTCTTTCCTTTTGTTTTGTTTTGAATCTGGCTGTCCTGGAACTCACTCTGTAGACCAGGCTGGCCTTGAACTCACAGAGAGCCGTCTGCCTCTGCCTCCCAAGTGCTGGGATTGTTCTTTTCTAAGAGGAGGGGAGAAGAACGAACGGGAGGAGGTGGATTTTAAACATGTCTGTGACTCTTGTTTCTCATTCCCGCTGCTACGGAAGCCTCTCTGCAGGTTTACGGTCACGGCCACCCTGGGCGACCAAGCGTGCACTCCGGCTCCAGGCGGTCTTTCTTCTTCAGAATGAAGAGCTGTAAAATCCCCGTCAAAGAAGAGCTTCGATGCTCACCCTGCTCAAAGAAGAAAGGTAGGACTCCCAGGAGAGCCGGTGACCAGAGCCTGGTGTGAATCGCAAGGTCCTAATTAGTTTCTCTGGAAGAACTTGTAAATTCCACAGTCGAGGCAAGAGACAGGGCGCAAAGCATCTGAGTGAGATTGTTTTAGACCCAGACGATTGTTCATGTTGGCCCAGCAACAGGTGCTCATTTCCCTGCCTGGGGTTTTCATCGTCCCACTGGTGTAGCAGAGAGAGCCTAAGTTCGATTGGGGCCAGATCTGGTGGGTTCTAACTTCAGCACTTAGAAAATAGAGGCCGTTGGATCTCTGTGAGTTCAAGGCTAGCCAGGGCTACGTAGCAAGACCCTATCTCAAAAATAAAGTAAAACTCAAATGACAACATAGTTCAATCTCTGTTTTAAAGTTTGTTTTTATTTCGAGACAAGGTCTCACTCTGCAGCCCTGTCTATCCAGGAACTCATTCTGTAGACCAGACTGACCTCAGACTCACAGAGATCTGTAAAGTAAAAGACCCAGAGGCAGATATGGGGGTTCAAGCTTCAAGCTGAATCTCAGAAAAGCAAAGCTGGCCAGGCCACTAGCTCTCACTCTAACTCAGGCTGAAAGGGCTGATCCTGTCTCCATGAACTCTTACCCTTAAGCCTCAGACTGCTGCCTCTCCTCAGTGTGGCTGGAGAACGAACGTCTCTCTGAGACCTTGCTTCTGTCTTACATACTTCCCTAATGCTGGGATTAAAGGTATGAGCTGTAATTCTCTTTGAGACTGATTCGATTGGGTAGATCTGGTGGCCTTGGTCCCACAGAAGTCCGTCTACCTCTTAATCCTGAGTCCTGGGATTAAATGTGTGCACCACCACCTTCTAGTTTTTGGCTGCTGGGATTAAAGGTGTGTGCCTGGCTTCTATGACTTGTGGCTGACTTTGCTTTCTGAATCCCCAGGCAAGCTTTAATAAACCATAACAATACATCACCACAGAGACCCACCTGCCTCTGCCTCCTGAGTGCTGTAATTAAAGATGGCAGGCTACAGTGCCCAGCCATATAGTAATTTTTAAATCTTAGTTTTCATGTGTGTGTGTGTGTGTGTGTGTGTGTGTGTGTGTGTGTGTGTGTGTCCACAAAGGCCACGGATTCCTTGGAGCTGGAATTATCCTCAGCTGTGAGCTGCCTGTTGAGGAGCTGGGAACTGAACTCGGGTCCTCTGAAAGAACATCAAGCACTCTCAACTACTGAGCCATCTCTCCAGCCCCCGCATGTTTCTTTTTGAGACAGAGCCTTACTGTGTAGTCCAGGCTGGTCTAGAGTGTGGATCCCCTCACTGGCTGAAAAGTGGTCTTTATATAGGACTGCATGATTCCATTTATTTATAAATTCGGGTTCAGATCTTTTTTATAACCACGCATGAAGAAAATCACAAGTGTTGGCATAGTAAGCGTGTGTTCCTGATACTGCACTGAGAATTTTGATTCTCATGAAAAGATTCTTGTGTCTGTCTTGGAATGAAGGAGGAGGCCCTGGAGAGGCTTAATTAACACACCGTCACCTCCCTCTTGCCCATGGCTCGATGTGGTGCAGAGCCTAGGGCAGAGGCTATCGGCAGTTGTAATTTAAGAAAAGCAGCGTGCATTCGAGAGAAAGACACCATCCGACAGGATTCAGATGGAGGGGTTTTTATTAGGGAAAGGGATCATAAAAAGGGAAAGGGGAGGGGGAGACCAGCCCCTGGGGGTAGAAGCAGCAGGAGAGAGAGCGAGACAGAGAGACACAGAGAGAGAAGCAGAAAGAGACAGAGAGAGAGAGAGAGAGAGAGAGAGAGAGAGAGAGAGAGAGAGAGAGAGAGAGAGAGAGAGAGAGAGGGAGGGAGGAGGATGGGAGGTGGGCAGGGCCCCTTTTAAAGGGAACACAGTGGTGCTCTCAGTGCCTGCAGCTGAGGGCGTATCCTGTCAGAACCCCAAGGACAGGCCAGTACAGATGCCTGAATACTAACGGTTAACTGCAGGTAGACCAGTTATTCCTTGTTTTCATGTATGGGAGTGAATACATACACGGTGATTGTCTTTCTGACCTCACATGACACCGTATCCTCTGATCTCTTTTATTTTATCACAAATAGTGGGATTCCATTTTCTTCCTTGTGAGAATGCTACTCCATTCATTCATTCTTTCTTTCTTTCTTTCTTTCTTTCTTGTGGTTTTTCGAGACAGGGTTTCTCTGTATTGTTTTGGAGGCTGTCCTGCAACTCACTTTGTAGACCAGGCTGGTCTCAACTCACAGAGATCCGCCTGCCTCTGCCTCCCGAGTGCTGGGATTAAAGGCGTGCGCCACCAACGCCAGGCCGGTACTCCATTCTTTATGTACCATATCCCCTCTGGACCTGTCTGACTGATTCCCATCTTAGTTGGTAAGGCTGTGTGTGGAGATGTGGGGGGGGGGTGTCTCTTTGTACCTTGACTTCATTTCTCGGGATATACACCCAGAAGTGGGGTGGCTGGATGTTGTGACACTGTAGCTTTTTGAAGAATTTCCATACTGTCTTCCACAGTAGCTATTAACAATGACTCCCCCATCGACTGTCCGTGTAGCTCCCTCTTTCTCCACAGCCTCTCCAGCATTTATCTGAACTTTTGGTTGCAGCCATTCTAACTGGGGTGAGGTGGGATCTCATTCTCGTTTGAGTTTGAGTTTTTCTGATGGCTAGGGATGCTGATCATTGTGTTACGTGTTCCTTGGTCATTTGTATTTCTTCCTTTGGGCGGGGTCTTAGTTAGCATTGCTGTTGCTATGATGGAACATCATGACCGAAAAGCAGCTTGGGGAGGAAAGGGCTCATTTGGCTACACTTCCTCATTGTAGTCTAAGGAAGTCGGCAGACACTCACGCAGGGCAGGAACCTGGAGGCAGGAGCTGATGCGGAGGCCGTGGAGGGCGCTGCTTCCTGGCTTGCTCCTCATGACTTGCTCAGCCTGCTGTCTTATAGAAGCCAGGACCACCAGCCCAGGGACAGCACCACCCGCAAAGAGCTGGCCTCTACCCATCCAACCACCAAGTTTGGTTGGTTGGTTGGTTTTGGTTTTTCAAGACAGGGTTTCCCTGCATTGTTTTGGAGCCTGTTCTGGAATTCGCTCCTTAGACCAGGCTGGCCTCAGACTCACAGAGATCCGCCCGCCTCTGCCTCCCGAGTGCTGGGATTAAAGGCGTGCGCCACCAACGCCCGGTGGTTTTGGGTCTTTTTAAAAATAACTTTTTATTGTGTTTCTAAATGTTCCTCAAATATTTCTGTGGCCCCACTATGACCACATGTGTCTGTCAACCATCATCACAAACAACAGTAAGACTTTTTTTTCATAATAGACAGACATGGTGGTGCACGCCTGTAACCACTTGGGAGGCTGAGGCAATAGTATCTGGAGTTAGGAGATAGCCTATTACACATAGAGGGCTGGGTGCTAGCCTGGGCTACAGGATGAATTTGTCTCAAAAAAAGAAGAGGAGGGGGAGGGAAGAAGGAAAGAGGAAGTGATGGTGACATTGGCAGTCATGGTGATATTGTATTTCTATGGTGACATTGGCAGTCATGGTGATCGTGTATTTCTATGGGTGACATTGGCAGTCGTGGTGATCATATATTTCTATGGGTGACATTGGCAGTCATAGTGATCTATTTCTATGGGTGACATTGGTAATCATGGTGATCTATTTCTATGGTGACATTGGCAGTCATGGTGATATTGTATTTCTATGGTGACATTGGCAGTCATGGTGATATTGTATTTCTATGGTGACATTGGCAGTCATGGTGATATTGTATTTCTATGGTGACATTGGCAGTCTTGGTGATATTGTATTTCTATGGTGACATTGGCAGTCGTGGTGATCATATATTTCTTTTTTTTTGTTTTTGTTTTTTTTGTTTTTTTCGAGACAGGGTTTCTCTGTGGCTTTTTTGGAGGCTGTCCTGGAACTCGCTCTGTAGACCAGGCTGGCCTCGAACTCACAGAGATCCGCCTGCCTCTGCCTCCCGAGTGCTGGGATTAAAGGCGTGCGCCACCAACGCCCGGCGATCATATATTTCTATGGGTGACATTGGCACTCATAGTGATCTATTTCTATGGGTGACATTGGCACTCATGGTGATCATGTATTTCTCTGGTGACATTGGCAGTCATGGTGATCATGTATTTCTCTGGTGACATTGGCAGTCATGGTGATCCTGTATTTCTCTGGTGACATTGGCAGTCATGGTGATCTATTTCTATGGTGACATTGGCAGTCATGGTGATCATGTATTTCTATGGCTTTTCATTAGACCATAGAAAATTCTACACCGTCCATTGCACTGGATACTTAAGAAGCTGGCCTCCAAATGCTGTTGGCATGGAGAAGGAGAGGGGCAGTGAGAAGGACAGTGTTCCTCTCACCTGCCTTGTAGCCATGGGACGGTTACATCCATACGCTGTCCCCCAGAAGAGCGGCAAGATCAAAGTGAGGCCAGCTGAGTTTGTGACTCGCTTTGCCGTGAATGGAAAATTCGTCTACGTTGATCAGAGGTGAGCAGCACTCAAGTGCAGTGGTGGTGAGGAACCCTGGGGGCAGCTGAGTTTGTGCAAGGTGTGACTCCGTAGCTTTTATTAGGGCTTGAGAATAGGAAGGGTAGTTTAGGTGACATGAGGATGTGGTTTGTTGGTGGCTTTGGTCAAGCCGGAGGACAAACTTGGAAAAGTATTTCTTAGCGGTGGTGCTGAGGCTGGGCCTGCTCCATGGCCACGGTGTGGGCGGTACCCTTGCAAGGACATCAGCTGGCCTTCATGGGGCCTCACCTGGGTGGCCTGTTTTGCAGCTCTGGTCTGTGGCTGGGGAGGACCAGGCAGCCCGTGGGAACCCAGGGATCCATGTGACTACGTCTTTCCAGCCCCCAAAGTCCCACCTGTGCTGGAGTTGCAGGATTCTAGGAGCCATCACCTTCAGCAAGTGCCAGGTTTATTCTCTGTTTCAAAACCAGGGCAACAGCAATCTTAGGATACCTGCCTCAGGAGCTCTTGGGAACTTCGTGTTATGAATATGTTCATCGCGATGACCACAGTAATTTGACTGACAAGCACAAAGCAGGTGGGTGATTCATCGAGAGGGTGATTTAAAACGACAGCGTCAGCCAGGTGTGATGGATCACCCACAAAATCTCAGGGCTTGGGAGGTGGCGGTAGAAGGACCAGGAGCCCCAGGCTAGCCTGGGCTACATAAGAAATCCCTGTCTAAATAAAATAAATGATTGTGGTGTCAACTCTCAATTTCTCGTTCCCTGGGAAACCCCAAACTGGAGTTGATTCTCAAGGCACTGGTTTTGGGTTTGGTGTTTGCTTTTGGTCTGGGATTCAGTATGGGCCCCTGGCTGGCCTAGATCTGATAACCCCCCCCCCTCTTCACAGCCTCCCAAGGGCCGGGGTTCCAGACAGGAACCACCACACCCGGCTGGAAGTCTTTTCATTCTACAGGCTGCTCTGCTGATGACTGCATCTTTTCTGTGAAGTTCTGCAGAGTAAGGAGAAAATACTGACGGACTCGTACAAATTCCGAGTGAAGGACGGCTCCTTCGTCACCCTGAAGAGCCAGTGGTCCAGCTTCACTAACCCTTGGACCAAAGAGCTGGAGTACATCGTGTCGGTCAACACTCTGGTTCTGTGAGTAGTTCTCTGTATTCCAGAGACCTTTGTCCTGATTTCAAGTGAGTACCTCTGCTTTCCGTCAGAAAACCGCATGGTCCTCTGACTGTGCCGCAGCTCAGTTTGGGGATGGATGCCAGGAGCCAGCACGGATGCCAGAATGCTTTGGGCTCCTCCTGTGTCCATCCCCAGAGCATGTCATCGTGAGTGACAACTCCTGGGGCAATGGGAAGTCATGTGAATGGCTGTTGTACCCAATCATTTACGAAGAGTGACAAGAAAAAAGCTTCTATGTGGTTGGGAAAGATGCAGATTTCTCTCCTCAAGGATTTTTGGTCCATAGCGATTCCACAATCCAACCCCGAGTCTGTGCGGTGGCCAGCGGTGTCTGAGAATTTCCTTTGCTCTTCATTGATGTTAGTTGCTCAAGTGAAGCTGGACGTTTGTCCTATGTAATCTACCCCCTTTGTTCTTGATATAATGTCTGGCGGTAAAGGTAGGTATGGTTTGCACACCTGTGATCCCGGCACCCGGGAAGCGGAGGCAGGAGGATGAGAAATTCAGAGCTATTATTGGCTACGAAGGGAGTCTGAGGCCAGCCTAGACTACATAAGACCTGGTCTCAAAACAACAACCCCCCCCCAAAAAAAAACAAGGGCTGGAGAGATGGCTCAGAGGTTAAGAGCACTGGCTGCTCTTCCAGAGGTCCTGAGTTCAATTCCCAACAACCACATGGTGGCCTCATGAGATCTGGCGCCCTCTACTGACCTGCAGGTGTACATGCAGACAGAACACTGTATAATAAATAACTAAATTAAAAAAACAAAACAAAACAGAAAAAACAGAAGAAGAACTGCTAATCCAATGGTAGAGAATTTGTCTAACGTGTGCATGGCCCTCGGTTCAGACTCCCCAGCACGGGTGGGGAGAGGGCGAGGCCAGGCACACACGTTTAATGTCAGTACTAAGGGAGAAGAGGCAGGCAGATCTCTGAGTTCGGGGTCAACCTGGTCTACAGCATGGGCGGGTCAGCCAAAGCTACACAGAGAGACCCTGTCTTGAAACAAAAGCAAAACAGAAGAGAAAAGAAAGATGTATCTTCTCTGCCTGTGCGCCAGTACAGCCGCTGAGTGGCAGAAATCCGGCCGTGTCTTCAGGGGAAGCAACTGCTTCTAGCCAGCTCAGCCCAGCCTAAGCCTTGTTGCTTTGCCAAGATTATAAGTGGGTGTAAGGGTCACTGTTGTGGGATATTGTCACACTCTGACACTCCCGAGACTGCCAATAAAGTTGACTTGGAATCAGAGGGCGGAGCTAGCTACTGGCTGACCGAAATTAGCCATAGAGACTTTGGAGGACCTATGACATATAGAGAGATACAGGAAGTGGTAGGGAGGGGCTGATGGGGTAAGGAGAAAGAGGAGGTCCCTGGTCACTCCTCTGCTGTTTCTCTGATCAGTCAGGTTCTTACCCCGGTATCTGGCTCTGAGGTTTTTCTTGGTAAAGAATAATTACATAAACACTTCACGTCACACCAGTTCCATTTGCTCATCTGTTAACGTTTAGTTTAAACATCACTGGGAGGCGAGTATCTCCATGTTCCTGTCAGCCATCCCAACACAGCTGCGGACCTAGGCTCTACGCTGGGAACCGGGCGCCGTTGCTGTGGGGTGGGGCCGACCAGTGGGGCGTTTGATCCCAGTCTTAGCCGAGGGTGTGGACAGTAAAATGTCGATGAGTGGAAGCCGGCAGATCAAACTCACGGAGCCAGCGCGGACGCGTCGTGGGTTCCCCGCGCCCCAGGGAATGCCACCTGTGCTTTTCTGACTTCCAGGGGACGCAGTGACACGGGGACGCCAACCTTGCCTCCCTGCAGCAGCCAGTCCTCAGAAGGTAAGCCGGCGCCTCAGCTCGGGGTCCTGTCTCACCATCCAGCACGTGTTTTTATGAAGGTGGTTTTCCGTCTAAGAGGGGAGACTGAGGGGGGGGGTTAGGAGACATCTCAACTGGATAGGCGCCACGCATGTGGTTACAGAAGGAGGAGGCCAAGGCAGGAGAGGTGACCAGCGAGTCCGGTCGCCTGTCATGCACAGTGACCTGAGTTCAACCCCCAAAACACACGTAAGGATGGAAGTGAGCTGATACCACAGTGCTGTCCTCTGAACTCCACCACCACACACATGCATCATACATGTATGTGTCATACATGTATTGTCATATATACACACACATACACACATACATACCATCATAAGCATACACATCAAACACACATACATTGTACACACACATCGTATGCACATTATACATTTGTACACACGTATCATATACACATTATACATTGGTGTATAATACATACATGTCAACATATATACACATACACAATCACACATACCTATACATACACATGTATCATACATGTAGATACATATCATACATACATGTAAACACACATATATCTGTATCCTACATGCACACATATAATATGCACATATATACAAGTACATACATACACACATTATATACACGTACACACTTGTATATAAATACATACATACATACATATTATATACATACATACACACACACACACACAATAACCAAAAAAAACCAAGGATCTGAGAGATAGCTCAGCAGGTAAAGGTTCTTGCCTCCAAACCTGACAACCTGAGTTCATTTCCCAGGACCAACAAAGGTAGGTGAGAACAGACTCCCACACATGGTCCTCTGACCTCCGAGCGTGTGCTGTAGCATGGGTACAGTCAGCCACACACATCATTTACACACGAGATAATAAATAAGAGACTATGTTCAGAGGGTACATAGATCCCACGGGGAACTTTCAGGAACACCCCACTATTCCCTTGAGCTGTCCCAGCACCTGGTCCATACCTCTGCTGTAGTGGAACACGGTACCGCCCATAGGTAGTTGCCCACGTGGCTGGTTTCCCGCTGGGTGGAGTTCCCCATGAACAGGACTGGTGTTTTCATGTGGTCTCCCTGCGGATAGCTCTCTTCCGTGTCCACTGTGTTCATTACAAGTCACCAGACAAATGAGAGACGATCGTGAAGAGTGTGTTTTCGCATCTCTCTCTATCTCTCTCCCTCTCCCTCTCTCTCTAACCATGGGGATGTGCTCGTGTATTTCATGCAAAATATTTTTTTCTAAGTATCTGAATATGGTGGTGACACCTGCATGCAATCCCAACATTTGGGAGGTGGAACCAGGAAGATAAGGAGTAATCTTGCTCATCTACACGAGACCCTATTTAAAACAAAAACAAAAACAAAACCACCAGGAGGCAGATCTCTGAGTTCAAGGTTTACAGAGTGAGTTCCGGGACAGCCAGGGGTAGGCAGAGAAACCATATTTCAAAAAAACAGAAAGTCAAACAAACAGACAAACCAAACACGGGATGGCTCGGTGGTTAAGAGCACTGGCTGCTGTTGTACAGGACCTGAATTTGGTTCTCAGCACCCACGTGGTGGCTCACAGCTGCCTGTAACTCCCGGCCTCCGCAGGCCCTGTATGCATTCGATGCACCTACATACATGCAAGCAAACAGTCACACACATAGAACAAAAGAGAAATGAACGGCCGCGCGAAAGGAGCTCCGAGCTGTCAAGCGGCGTTGTGTGGCTCTTCTGTGAGGAGCAAAAGGAAAAAGACCGTGCTGAAGGTCGTGGGTGGTGGCGGCGCCCTTGGTGACTCTGTGCCCATCTGTGATCCTACTCAAGGTGTCTCCGGCACTGGGAATTCTGTAACGGAAGATTAGGTGTTTTCCTGGCATTTTAAGGTGTGGCTCATCTATTTCAGGAGAAACTTGGAAATCATCTAAAAAGAAAGGAAGCCCACGGACCAGGGCCATGTACACTTTAACGTCCCCGACTGAGTTTTCTCTTGTGCTTTTGCCTAGACTCATTCAGACAGTCCTGCGTCAGGGTGCCTGGCACATCCACGGGGACCGTCCTCGGTGCTGGGAGTATTGGAACAGATATTGCAAACGAGGTTCTGAGCTTACAGTGGTAAAGCTTTCTCGTCGCAAGTGTTCTCATATAAATGGCTGTCTTAGTTGCAGACCAGTACAACACAGATCAGTCGTTCCTGTGTGTGTGTGTGTGTGTGTGTGTGTGTGTGTGTGTGTGTGTGCGCGCGCGTTCAGGAGGGTGCGGCAGAGGGTGGGTGGCTCTGTGCGTAAGAGTGTCACACCTACTGGGGCATCAGATCTCCTGGAACTGGAGTCACAAGCGGTTGGGGTGGGGGCACCCAGATAAGGACTTTTATAGTCTTTAATTTGTCAAGTTGTTTCTAAAACACCACACCAAATACAGAATTCAGGAAGAAAGAACTGATAAATGTGATTGCATAAAAGTTCAAAACTGAAGCATAAACTATACCATGACAACAAAGTTGGAAACATAAACTGGAAAATGTGTGTATTTTGTTTAGTGAAACAGACTATCTTTAACTTATAAAGAATTTTATACCATAAATATATCAAAGTATATGTATTTTATATAGTTATATGTAAACTTCATGTATAGCATAAAGAAGAGTTATCCAATAACTTTGTAGGTGGCTGGAGAGATGGCAGCTCAGCAGTTAAGAACACTTTTTGCTCTTGTAGAGAACCCGTTGTTCAGTTCCCAGCACCCACATAATGGCTCACAATGGTCTGTAGCTCCAGTTCTAGGAGATACAGCTCCCTCTTCTGGCTGCTGAGGGTACTGCACACACATGGTACACATACATCCACACAGGCAAACACGTACAACCATAAAATTAAAATAAATAAATAAGTAAAAGCAATTTCTTAGATTGGACAAATTATATTGAGGCTAAATAGTGGACATGAAGAGAAAAATGAAAGAGAAATAGCCAGGAAACTTTAAAATTGTTCATTTCCACTCATATTTAAATATATACACGCATAATTAAGCAATGGGTTAGGTACGTTTTTCCTTCCAAGCCTGAGGCCACCCTGTGCTGTATTCAGAGCCCTTATCTTTAAAACAAAATGTGCTTAGGTGGGGCATAGTGGTGCAAGCCTTTAAATCCCAGCACTTGAGAAACAGAGGCGAGAGACAGTCTATACAGTGAGTTCTAGCCAGTGCTACAAAGTATACTTAGTCTGAGGCTCAGAACAGGCCATCTTAGCCAACTTTGCAAGAATAAGACTCGATGCCTGCCTGAGCTGCTGAGGTGGGGGCTTTAAACAGCTAAGTAATTCCCTCCGACGCATCATGTAGTAAAATGTTCATCATGTACAGTAGGGGTGGGAGTGATTGTAGTGAGATATCCACCCCGCCCGCACTTGTGGCACCGACCACACCCGTTTGGGCAGACGTGACTGGGAGTGAGTTTAGTTCTGGGGTCTGGACAGGTGGCTGGCTCTCTTGCTTCTGGTCGGGTCACAGAGGACAGCCTGGGTGGGTTCTTGGAGAGGGAACTTGTGGTGGTCACCTGCTTCTTGTGTAAGTGCATTCTCCCCGAATAAGGTTCACTCAGCCTGTACCAAGTCTAGCGAATCTTGATTCCCGTGCAGTAAGTCCACTCAGCAGTTGGCAGGACCCAAGTTCAATTCCCAGCACTCACATGGAGGTTCACAACCATGTAAACCTCCAGTCCTGGGGGATCCGATGCCTTCTTCTTCTGGGATCCAAAGGCACCAGGCAGGCACGTGGTGCACAGACATCACACAGGAAATCAATCACACACATTAATATACATGGCATATGGAAAAGTCATGGAAATGGAGAAATAATAATAATAAAAAGGGTAGTATGCGTGAGCCCGCACCTTGCTAGTTTAGCCTCCACTGCAAGTTCCGTGTCTCCTTCTGTTGAAGGTTTGCCGCCAGGGTTCTAGGTGATGGTGAATCGGCTCGTGTGTCTTACTTTTTGAGAAATGACATCTTGTCTGCTTGTTCTGTGCCTGTGTGGGGGTGAGTGCGTGTCACGGCGTGTGTCAGGGCCAGAGGACTACCCGAGGAAGTCAGCTCTCCCGTGCGTTCCGGGGTCAGACTCGGGTCATCAGGCCTGATGGCAGGAGCCTGAACCCATTTAACTGCCTCTCTGCCTGTGTCTCACTTCTTAAGTAAATAAAATGCCCATAGCAGAATTTGCTACCTTAAAATACACAGGGGCTGGAGACGCGGCTTGGTGGCTAAGAGCACTTGGCGATTATCTGGAGGGGATCCAAATTTATTCCCACCACCCACCCCAGGCAGCTCACAGCCGTCTGTAGCTCCAGCTCCAGGAAAGCTGACGCCCTCTTGTGGCCTCTGCAGGCACTTGCACACACATGTGCATATACACACACACACACACACACCATAAATAAAAACAAAATCTTAAAGTGCACAGCTCTGCAAACACTCAGTGCTCTGTGGTTCATGCTCTCCTGAGGCTTCTTCATGTACCCTTCCCCCTTCCTGGCTGCTCTCCCACAGCCACAGCCACAGCCACCTCCTACTTCCTATTTCCTATTCCTATTCCCTATTTCCTGTTCCCTATTCCCTATTCCCTATTCCCTATTTCCTGTTCCCTATTCCCTATTCCCTTGCATGGTTTCAGCCCTCCAGAGTCAAAACTAAGTCTGGTACGTAACGAGTCAGCCTGGCCGTGAAGACTGAGGTATTCAGTCTCGAGTTCCTTGCTGCGGTTCATCCGTCAGTCAGTTGTGATGCATTCAGAAGAAAAAAAAAAAACCTTCTAAAGTCCCGTCAGAGGGATAAGCATCTCTTGTCTCCCTGCTCAGGCTACACTCGTCATCCCCAGAAGATTCGAATCCTTCAGAGACAGAGGGAGACAGCCACAGTGTGAACTACAGGGACCCCAGTGTGCCCGTGAGTGAAGCCAATGTTCACTGGTCGTTATGAGAAAGAGGCCAGTCTATAAAAAGTACGGGGGCCTTTCTGCTGACTCAGTGGCCTGACGGGCCAGTACAGGTCAGTGGTCGCAGGAGCCGCGGTTAGGAGAACACCGAAGGGCTCCAGGTTGTGACTCAAATCTAGTCTTTGTAACGCTGGGTTCAGAATTTGAACTCTGCCTCAGTTTCCTTACTTGTGAGGTAGGTGTGGTAACAACATCCCCCCAGATGAATATGAGAATTAACCAGAAACAAAATAAGCCAAAAAACACTTTTTGAGACGGGGTCCCATGTAGCCCAGGCCAACCCCAAACTCACTGTGTAGCTGAGGCTGACCTTGAACTCCTGATTTTCCTGCCTCCACCCCCCCCCAAGTGCTGGGATTACAGGCTGCACCACCACACCAAATAAAAACCAAAAACTCTTCAAATGGTGGTTGGCACACTTACGAAGCACTCAGTGGGTGGCAGCTGTTACGATGGCCTCGGATTCTGCACCCAAGTGGTTTGAAAGAGATGTAGGTAAAATAAGCCATGAAACAAGTGCTATGTGCTTACCCTGACACACTCCAGCTGACGGAAATGCACGCTGCACCTTCAATGATCACACCTGTGGGCTGGTGCTGCACATCTGTCACCCTGCAACTTTAGACGTGGAATGCAGGGTGACCTCAAAGCTAGCTTAGGCAACTTAGCGAGACCCTGTCTCAAAGTAAAAAAAAAGTTTTAAAAATTAAAAAAAACGTAGTAAAAGGAATGGATATATAGCTTCGTGGTAGAGCTCGTGCCTGGTTTATGGAAAGACCTGTTTGATTCCCGTAACTGGGGGACGCTAGACCTCGTGCTACCCAGAAGTCTGAAATAGATTATAACGCTAGCATCGTGTAGAGCAAATGCCACGAGGTGTCGAGTCAGTTCTGTGGTCTGAGAATATGGAAGGGAGATGATGTGTGACCAAGGGGAGCAGGGGCCGGAAAGTACAAACATTGTGTGACGCTTGTATGAAAATACAGCTGGTCTTCCTATTTATTTATTCGCTTATTCACATGTTTAGTGAACAAAGCGATCCTATAGGAACAGGCGTGTAAGTCGATGTGATAAAAATCTTCTGGCCTCCTCATGTGCCTAGCTGTGCATACATGCAGGTGCACTCGCACACACGTGAGACCGCACACATGCACACATGTGTGAGTGCATACACGCATGCACGCGCGCGCGCGCACACACACACACAAGGATCTCAGCTTTGCAGTAGGTGCCTTAGTTTGGAATCTGGTAGAGATAGGGAACGACTCTCAGCTCTAAGCTTCAGCTATGGAAGATGCCTAGGCAGTGCAGGCTGTGCCCGGGGCAGGCCCTCGGGAACTGTAACGGAGGTTCTGGTGCCGACTGACTCTAAAACCACCCGGTGGTTCTCACTGTGCTCAAGGCTTGCTGACCGGTCCTGTCCTGTCTTTCCAGGTGTCCACGAAGGAACGCTTTTTACCGAGTTCTGAAACAGGGGGCCTGGAGGCTACCAGGCAACCCCAGCTCACTGAAGCTGCTCACAGTCACGGGCCACTGCTTGGTAAGCTGTCCCTGTCACCAGCCACCATGGGAATTTTCCAAAACCACTGTGTTCTTATGCGCAGGACATTTTTGAAGCAGCAAATGTTTTTAAAGTAATATTTTTTTCCCACCAGGCATGGTGGCACATACCTATAATCCCAAAACACGGGAGGTTGGGGCAGAGGATTGCTATGAGTTCAAGACCGTCTTGGGCTACATAGTAAGTTCTAGGCCAGACAGGGCTACATAGGAAGAAAGCCGTCCCTTCCCCCTTGTATCCCAGGTTTGGCTCAAACATCTATGTCACTAAGGATCACCTTGAACTTCTGGCCCTCGTGCTGGGATTACAGGTGTGCACCACCACACCTGATGTATACGGTGCCCGACCCCAAACACGGGGTGTCACGTATGCTCGGCCAGCCTTCCCCAGCAGAACCTCTGCCCCTGCTGCTGGCTTTGCCGTTCTTGACTACAGCTGCTTTTTATTTATTTAACGTGTATGAGAGACTTGCCTGCGTGTGTGTCTGGGCACGTGCATGTCTAGTGCCCGCGGAGGCCAGAAGAGGTTACTGGACCCCGTGGAGTTACAGGTGTTTGTGAGCCGCCAGGTGGAGCCTCTGTAAGGGCAGCCGGTGCTGTTTCTCCAGACTCTCTGCCCGCGGTGTTTTCAGACACGACCTCCTTCCCAGCTCCCCTGAACTTACTCACGTAGCCGCCGGTGTTGGTGTTTTAACTTCCAGGCGATGGTGCCCAGCTGGACTTCGATGCGCTGTGTGACAATGAGGACACAGCCGTGGCTGCCTTCATGAATTACCTGGAAGCAGAGGCGGGTCTGGGTGATGCTGGGGACTTCAGTGACATCCAGTGGACACTCTAGCCTTTGAACTGACGTGGGAATAGTCTCAGGGTGTCCCATCTACAAGACACTCTGTTAGTTCATAGAACTCTCTTTACGCCATGAGCTAGCCCGGGGTCAGGCTGCCCTATATTTCTGCTGAAATGCTCTGACCATAAAAGGCTGCCAATCACATTGTTTGGGCGTTGCTTCTTCGGGGTCAAGCTGCCAATCACGTTGTTTGGGCGTTGCTTCTTCGGGGTCAGGCTGCCAATCACGTTGTTTGGGCGTTGCTTCTTCGGGGTCAGGCTGCCAATCACGTTGTTTGGGCGTTGCTTCTTCGGGGTCAGGCTGCCAATCACGTTGTTTGGGCGTTGCTTCTTCGGGGTCAGGCTGCCAATCACGTTGTTTGGGCGTTGCTTCTTCGGGGTCAGGCTGCCAATCACGTTGTTTGGGCGTTGCTTCTTCGTACAGCTTTGCTGTTGCCTCTGGGGATCTCAACGCGTTGACGTTTTCCCTGCCTGTGGCCTAAGAGGCTGGTGACGTGGGCTGTGGCGCTGTGGCGTGTGCCCACACGTGAGCCTTTCCCCTGGTGGATGAAAGAGCTGGGTGGCTTCTGGGGTGTGGCGAGTGCTTGAATATTTAAAGGGTCAAACTGACGATGAGCACTGTATGTTGAGCCTTTGACTTGCTAGGATGGACTTTAAGGGAGAGGGCTTCTTGAAACACAGGGAAGGCCAACGTTAATGGCTTTGCTTACATAAGGGGTGGGCCCTGAGCCCTTGATCTTGGGAGATGAGTCTTTGCAAAGGATGGTGTATCACTAAGGATTTTCACTGTAACTCATACTGCCTTGCTGGTCCCCGCTGTTGAAGCTGGCTTAGCGACAGATTCGGCCTGGAGGATAAATCAGTCCCAGGCAGATTAAATGCCCTGTGGAAGGTCCCACCTGAAATCCATAGGTTGTTAATGCTTAATGTATATAAGCCCAGTTACATTTGTAAAGACAACGGACTGACTAGTTACCTGATGACCAAGCCGACCTAGGAAACAACGGTAGCCTGCTGGATAATTGGTGCTCAGTCATCATTGCCTGCAGCCAAAGAAATGAAACAAATGGTAAATACAGTTTTTTGTTGCTGTTTTTGCTGTGTGGGTTTATTTGGGCTTTTTGTTTGTTTTTTGAGACGGGATCTGTGTAGCCCAGGCTGTTCTAAAACATACAGTCTGGCCCCATATAGAGATCTACCTGTGCTGCCTCCCAAAAGTTGGGATCAAAGCCAGACATCACAATTCCCAGGTTAATCACAGTCCTTTAAGTCAGGAGGCAATGAAAAAAGAAAAGCTTAATAGCCGACTTTTCTCGTCATAATGTAACGTTCAGAGGGTGTTTTAAAACAGCAGTTAGCTGGCCTGACAGCCTCCAAAACAATACAGAGAAACCCTGTCTCGTAAAAACCAAAAAAAAAAAAAAAAAAAAAAAACCCCAGCAATTTTTAACCTAGAGATGCTTCGAGTGCAGTGTAAGAATTAAGACGATTTAAAATTCTGGCCCGGGAGCTCAGTGCAGCTCAGTCGGTAGAATGTTTGCCTCACGTGAAGAAAGCCCTGGGTTCAGTTCCTAGCATTGTAAACCAACCTTGACAAAGCATGAAGGATGCCCCTGGCGGAGTTCAGCAGAGAGAGAGGGTCTGCTCACACACTTCCTCACGGGACAGCACCATAGCCAGGCAGGTTTCCAGCAGCGGGTCCTGCCAGTAGTAGAAGATAAGTTGTCATGGTGATGTGTCCTCCTGAGCAGGTGGGCGTGGCGTTGAGCATCTCCAGTCCCAGCGCCTGGGGGAATGAGGTAGGTGGACAGCTGCGGGTTTGAGGTCTGCCTGGGCTATGTATAGAGAGTTCTAGATCATCTTGGGCTACAGTATGAATCCCTGTCTCAAAACAAAAGCAGGTGGAACAAACTCTCACGGTGTGAGAGGCAAGCTTTAGGGGCCCTGGCCGCCTCTCACAAAAGCAAGTTCTCCCTCTCAGCGAGAGGACAGGCCATCCCTGGGACGCGCGGGCGGATGGCTGGGCTCGTGCTCTGTGGATGTCTATCTTCACTCCTTTTCTCAGCCTAGTAAAACCCTTCCCTACAGATCCCACGGCCCTGGACCCAGGATACACTGCCCGGCCCACTCCGTGCTTTGTGAGACTCCGCCCTCCTGACTCCGCCCTCCTGACTCCGCCCTCCTCTGGGATTAGTGTCTGCTCTTCCAATGCATCCCCCCTGTGTTTGGTTGGTCCCATTGCATTGGAGTGGCAGACTTGGTTTGGCTGGCCGGTTGGTTTTCCGAGACGGGGTTTCTCTGTGTGGTCTTGGCTGTCCTGGAACTCACTCTGTAGACCAGGCTGGCCTTGAACTCACAGAGACCCACCTGCCTCTGCCTCCTGAGTGCTGGGATTAAAGGCGTGTGCCACCACCTCCCGGCAGCCACTTGCCACAGGTGGTTCTGGGTCCCTGTGCCCGCGGCTGACACTGGTACTCAAAGATGGGGTCACAAAGGGGCATAGAATATTGCATTGACAGGTTTGCGTTCACTATTTGCGATGCTATTTGGAAATGTAGGCAAAAAAAAAATTAAAATTAATGGTACTTGTGTCTTTTAACTTTTATGTTATTTTCGGCTCAAACTCATAGTCCCAGATTGGTTCCCCACGTAGAGAGATTGCACCCAGACCCCTGCTGTTTGTGGCTAGCACATGGCCCTCCTGGACAGCACCACCGCGTGCAAGGACATTTTGTCAGGGGGATGCTACGGAAATGGACCAAAGGCTGAAGGATGAGGTGATTGTCGCTATTGTAACTCTGGTCCTTAGGGACTCAGTCAAGAAGAGCTCTGAGAGTCCTGGGCCAGCCTGGGCTACAGAGTGAGTTTTTTTTTTTCTCTTTTGAAGTTGCCATGTACTTTATTATGTGATGATAACCTGACATTAAATAAAACTTGAGTTCAGCGTTGACACCATAGGGTCAATAAATACATACATTTACTGGGAGACAAAGGCATCAGGAAATGCAGAAGAAACAGGCAGAGGCGGAATGAGGAGGAGGGGGCTGTTTGTAGTGTCCCACTGAAAAAGCCACACCTGCAGTCCCAGTATTCCTGTGAGGTTGAGGCAGGAGGATTGCTGTTAGTTTGAGGCTAGCCTGAGCTATATGATGAGGCTGTGCCTCGTTGAAATCAGAATATATAATAAACTGGCATGGAAGTCTACAGGCTCACTGGCTGGGCTTAGCCGTGGGGTGTGAGCCTCCTGTGTCCCCGGGGCCACATCAGGGCTGACAGTTAGAACTCTCCAGAGGCTACCAGAAAGAGCTGGGTAGCTCCTATGCGCCTCTCTCCCTGTTCTGAGGGGCTTTCTTTGCATTAATTCCCACCCCCTGGGGCCTGGGAGAGACATTTGTGGCCTCCCTGTCTGGAATGCTGGGGCCCTTTGGCTGCTGGGAGATGTCTGTCAGAGAACTCTCTCGGGTTCCTCTCACGCTGTGGAGAGAACTCCCCAGGTGTGACAGTCAGGGCAAACCTCAGGGAGACTGGCTGGCTGGGGTGTCCTCTGACCTCCGGGGTGTCCTCTGACCTCCGGGGTGTCCTCTGACCTCTGGGGAGTCCTCTGACCTCTGGGGAGTCCTCTGACCTCTGGGGAGCTGTCATCCCTCAGCCTTTTGAATGAGGGTTTGGGTACCGCATCCAACGCCTTCTGACTCATTTGTTCTTGTCTGTATATATTGCTATTTCTAAAAGTCTGCGGTAGATAATGAAAAGGGAGAAATTAAATTACATTTTATATATGGATATATATGAATAACTAGTTTGGTTTTTTTTAACTTAATAAACTTTCTCCCCTTGATGATGTGAACTAGTTTCTAACGTGGAACCACAGATTAAGGAAAGGGTCGGTTTTAAAATCTTGGGCAGACGCCGAGTGGTAGTGGTGTAGCACAGCTTTAATCCCTGACGGTTCAGATTACAATTTGATGTTAGATTTCCCACGGGGCCACAGTGTTTCATTTCTTCTTATCTCTTCTTTCTGGAAAGTTTTTTTAAAATGTATAATCTTTTTATGCACTTATTTGCGAAGCACAAAAAAAAAACAGTAAATAGAGGATTGATGGTTTGAAAGAAAATGGCCCACCAAGGGAATGGTCCTGTTAGGAGGTGTGGCCTTGTTGGAGTGGGTGTGGCCTTGTTGGAGGAAGTGTGCCACTGTGGAGACAGGCTTTGAGATCTCGTGTGCTTTCATGCATCCGGCTCCAGGCTGGTTTCTTAGGTGTGTGCTGTGCTCACTAACTTGGAAAGACACCCATGCTTCTCTCTACCTCCCCTCACCCCCTTAACTCAATACACAGCTGTTTTGCTTGTTTGTATGGGATGAGGTCTCACGGTGTGGCCCAAGCTCGTCTCACAGTTCTCCTCATTGGTGCTGACACATTGAGCCTGTGTTGCTCTATCTGGCCACTCACAGCATTCTAAAATATGTTTTCTAACTGTAAAAGACATAAAAATGTGCTGCCCTACCCATTACAGGTACAGTTCCATGTTGGGCGATAGCCACACCGTTCTGGGAACTCTAGGGCTTGTCTGCACACTCTGAACAAGTTCCTGCACCAGCAGCCCCCTGCTGTGTTTCTGTGCGTCTGTACAAATCCACCGTGAAGTGGTTTTGGGTTTCACTTCCCACGCTATCCTCGAGGTTTATTCTTCTTGTACCGGGTGACCAGGTTTTCCTTTCTGAGATTGTGTAATTATGTGGTATGCACACACCACACTGTGAGATTGTGTAATCAGTCACACACACACTGTGAGATTGTGTAATCAGTCACACACACACACACACACTATGAGATAGTGTAATCAGTCACACACACACACTATGAGATAGTGTAATCAGTCACACACACACACACTATGAGATTGTGTAATCAGTCACACACACACACTATGACATTGTGTAATCAGTCACACACACACACACACCACACTGAGATTGTGTAATCAGTCACACACACTATGAGATTGTGTAATCAGTCACACACACACACCACACTGAGATTGTGTAATCAGTCACACACACTATGAGATTGTGTAATCGGTCACACACGCACACACTATGAGAGTGTGTAATCGGTCACACACGCACACACACACACACACACCACCACACCACCCATCTACCCACTGGCGGGTAGTCGGATGTTTGGGGCTTCTCCATCTCAGCTACAGTGAATGTGACAAGGGTGGGTGTGTAGGTGTCTGGTCACAATCCTGCCTTCAGTGTGTGCACACCTCTACCTACCTGTCACCCACCTCTATCTCTCTGTCATCTACCTAGCTAAAGCTACTATCATCCATCTATTCATCTATATATGTATCTATCATCTATGTACCTATCAACCGCCTACCTACTCATCTATCATCTATCTATCTATTGTCTATCATCTATCTATTATCTATTTATCTATTGTCTGTATATCTATCCTCTATCTATCTCTCTATTGTCTATCTAGAGAGAGAAAGATGAAGTGGGATTGATTCTATTGTAAACACTTTTGAGGCCCCTCCACACTGTTTTCCACACAGTCTCACTGTTTTATATTCTGACTAATAGCACACAGGGCTGCTAGTCCCCTACTGTCTTGCCAACTCCAGCTATTGGCTTTAACCGCCAGTGTTCATCCTGGTGGGCCTTTGGTAATATTTCATTGTGGTTTCCATCTGTGGCAAATCTTGTAGTCGTTTGTGTATATTCTTTGGAGAAATACGCATTCAGGTTCTCTGGCCACATTTTGAGTTCATTGTGTTTCTAAATTTTTATTTTTAATGTGTACTTCATGCATGCGATGCCCAAAGAAGCCACAAGGGGCATTGGGTCACCTGGAATTAGACTTATAGGTGGTTGTAGGCTGCCATGTGTGTGCTGGATCAAACCTGCTCTCTCAGGAAGAGTGGCCAGTGATCTTAACTGCTGAGCCATCTCTCCGGCCCACTTTTTATTTTGAATGTTTGATCATGTGGGAGCACAGGTGTGTGCTGCCAAAGTCTGCTGACCCTTGTAGTTCTTGATGTCTCTGTGTTCACATAGCTGTGGTGAGCACCTTGGAGGTCGGTCCTTTTAAACAGATTAGAGAAGACAAAACAGTAAAAATGACACCAGTAGCTACTGTGACCAAGCAAGGCAGGAAAACAGCTTCAGACTTTGGGTTTTTCAGTCACCTAAGTTCACAGAAATGCCAATTAAAAAGTTACTGTGGCCTATTTTGACTGATTTTTTTCTTCACATGTAGCCCAGGACGACCTTTTCCCAGTGATGGGGGAAAGTTCTTCTGTGTATATGTCAATAAAGCACTGTTGGCCAATAGGGAAGCAAGATAGGTGGGATTAGGAGTCTAGGCGGAGTCTGGGAAATGTAGTGAAGAGAGTTTGTCACTGTGTGGTCGTGGGGAGAGGACCCATGAGGCTGCGTCCTCGATAAGACCTTATAAAATATGCATATTAGTAATTATGGGTTAATAATTAAGTCAGAGATAGCCAATAAGAAACAAACCAGCCGGGCGGTGGTGGCGCACGCCTTTAATCCCAGCACTCGGGAGGCAGAGGCAGGTGGATCTCTGTGAGTTCGAGGCCAGGCTGAACCCAAAAGCCTCCAAAACCAATACAGAGAAGCCCTGTCTCGTAAAACCAAAAAAAAGAAAAAAAGAAAAAAAGAAACAAACCAAATGGCCAACAGCTTCATAATTAATATAGTGTATTGTGTGTTATTCAGGAGCCAAAACGGCAATGGGATCCAGGTGGCTGGCAGGAAGAATGCACATTACAGCCCAGGATGGCCCTTTCCCATGTAGCCCAGGATGGCCTGGGCTGTTACTGAGGACGGCCTTGAACTTCTATCTTCCTGCTTTTCTCTCTGGATGTTGCTATTACAGGCCTGGTCCATCACGCCTGACCGGCTGTTCCTAATAGCATTGTGCTTTGTGCTGCAGAAGCACAGAGGCACCATAAACACAATCTTTTTTCATCAAAAAGAAAGGTAAAGCCAGGTGCAGGTAAGTCTATACTTCAGACGCTGAGGCAGGAGGATCGTGAATTTGAAGCCAGCCTGGGCTACAGTGTGGCTGTCAGGAGGGAGGGATGTAGCATCTACAGTGGCTTCGGTTTTGTGCCATCCGCGTCTGATGGGATCGCTTCAGAAACACACACACAGGACAGGTTGACGGAGTCCAGGGCGCAGCGACACTCCCCACAGGCCACAGGAACGTCCCTGTGAGATTGGAACAGCTCATGCAGCTCACCAAGGCTTCTCCTTCTGCATGACTTGGGAGTGGCTGACTCCTCCCGGTGGGATGTGGGAGGGCATGCCTGCACTCCTCTGGATGTAAAGACGGGAGGCTCGTGAGTTCAAGGCCAACCTGGACTCAGTAAATAAATAAACTTTTTTTTTTCTGGTTTTTCGAGACAGGGTTTCTCTGTATTGTTTCGGAGGCTGTCCTGGAATTCGCTCTGTAGACCAGGCTGGCCTCGAACTCACAGAGATCTGCCTGCCTCTGCCTCCTGAGTGCTGGGACTAAAGGCGTGCGCCACCACCGCCCGGCCCCCCCTTTTTTTTAAACATACAGTATTTTGAGTTATTTTTTTATTATGTTTGCATATAGAGTTCTATGCTTGGACACCAGAAGAGAGCACCAGATCTCATTACATATGGTTGGTTGTGAGCTACCAGGTGGTTGCTGGGAATTGAACTCAGGTTCCTCTGGAAGAGCCGGCAGTGCTCTTATCCTCATCTGAGCCGTCTCTCCAGCGAGGATCACCCCTTCTTTTGGGGGACAAGGATGGTGGGGGAAGGGAAGCACAAGACCCTCCCTACCCCACCCTGACCCCTCACCCCCACTCCCATCCTCCAATGAGACCCAGTCGCTCTCGGCCCTGTCCTCCAGCTCCGGGGATCCAGGTCTTCTTTTTCTTCTGGGGTGGTGGTGTCTGAGGTTGTGAGTCCCCTGCTCTGGGGGAAAAAAAGAAACAGGTAAGGAAATCAGTGATAGGGAGGGAGGCCAGGAGCCTTCTCAAGCCAGAGACTCGCTCAGTGTGACGGTCAGAGGCTCGCTCAGTGTGACTGTCAGGGACTCCCTCAGCGTGACAGTCAGGGACTCAGCGTGACGGTCAGGGACTTCCTCAGTGGGAAGGTCAGAGACTCGCTCATTGTGACGGTCAGAGACTCGCTCAGTGTGACGGTCAGGGACTCAGCGTGACGGTCAGGGACTCGGTGGGTCAGGTTCACGTCCCTCTGTCCGAGCACACCCACCCCTTCCCCGTGATGGTCAGCTTTGTCAGGTTGGCACAGCCTAGGACTGCCTGGGAAGAAGGCTCAGTGAAGAATCATCTTGAGTGGGTTGGCCCGTGGGTGCCTCTGAGGTGTTTTCTTAGGTAACTGAGGAGGAGGCCCGTCCTGGACGTGGGTAGCACTGTTCCCTAGGCAGGGAGCTACGAACTGCAGGAGGGGAGAGATCCGTCCTGAGCCCAAGCACGCTCGCGTGCACGCGCGCGCGCGCACACACACACACGCAGACACAGACACTCACACACACGTGCAGACACACACACACACACACACACACACACACACACACACATTCATCTCTCTGCTCCTGACGTGGCTATGGCGTGACTGTGACCTTCTGCCTTGGCTTCCTCACCATGAGGGACTGTCGCCTGCTCTACATGGTGAATTCAAGCCAGCCAGGGCTATGTGGAAAGACATTGTCTCAGAAAGATTAATCAGTCCATTGACAAGTACAGCCAGCTGTCACCACTGTGACGACACTCCCCCTGACATGTGTCACTTCCCCTGACATGTGTCACTTCCCCTGACATGTGACATTTCACCTGACATGTGACACTTCCCCTGACATGTGACACTTCACCTGACACATGTCACTTCCCCTGACATGTGACACTTCACCTGACACATGTCACTTCCCCTGACATGTGACACTTCACCTGACACATGTCACTTCCCCTGACATGTGACACTCCCCCTGACATGTGACATTTCACCTGACATGTGACACTCCCCCTGACATGTGACACTTCCCCTGACACGTGTCACTCCCCCTGAAGGTGCTGAGGACAACAAGGCTGTGGCTGCCCCCTCACCTCTGAGAAGTCGTAACCCAGGGCGTTTTGGGAGACTTTGCTCTTATTCCGTCTCTCCCTGTGGAAACCGAGGCTAAGAGAAAAGTCCCAGCCACGGTGCAGACGTCACCTGACATCCCCTTCCCAGGTGGCGACAGCTCCTTTGCGGTTCCTGCCACCCCTTACCTCTCCTGACCAACGGTGTTAGCATGGCCTGGTGTGAGCCCCACAGAGTAGGCGCCGCGGTTCCCACCCATCCTGTACCCGGGTTACAGAGCAAAGTGCTTCAGGCCCCCTATCACCACGGCTGCAACCAAGAGAGCCAACATCAGCCGCGCCTGACCTAACTCTCAGCACCCAGTAGGGCTACACACTCACTGAGGGCTAACAGGGTGCGCCCCACGCTCTGCGGGGACAACGAGTGTCTCAAACCCCGCCGTGTGGTTTGCACGATGTCACTGACGTCACAGTGGGAGCTCAGGACAACACGCATGCGCGAGCAGGCCTGCAATAGCTCGGAGGATCCCCCCCTCCCCCGGGTCTCCAAGGCGGAGAGACTTTGGAGTTTGGCCAACGCTGCTTGTGAACTGCGGTGGCTTCTATGTCCGTTTCTTCTTGCAGGCCGGAAATTAAAAACAAAGAGAAATGGAGAGTGGAGCTGAAATTGACGTTTTCCCTTTGTGTCAGGATGGCGAGACTGCTTGAGCTCTCGATGGTCGGTCATGTTTGCTTGTCCGTTTAGCCTTCTCCCCAGCCTCTGTATGATGTGGATGGGCAGATGAGCTGTTTGTTCGCTTAATCTGGTTGTGTTCACTGTAGCCTGGGCTGGTCTTGAAGCGGCCACGCAGCTAAGGATGTCCGGATGGCCGTAGAGTTCTGATCTCTCTTCCTTCCTCTGCCTCCCCAGGTGGTTCCCCACCAGGCCCTCGGTGATGAGATTGGAACCCAGGGCTTCACGCTTGCTAGCTGGCACAGCACCTACCAACCCCCGAGCTGCAGCAGCCCCAGGCACGCAGAACTTTGAACAGAAGAGGCTGCTTAGCGTGACCAGCTGGAGGGTAATGTTTGCATCCAGCAAAATTTTCTGGTCTTCCTGACCCTTCCCCTTGAAGCCCTAAGCCCAGATCCTGGCTGCCCTGCAAGGTTTGCATTCGAGCAATTACGCTCGAATTGTTGTAATTAGGGTCCCTCCACTCCGCCCTCAGAAGCGGGGGCTGCTGCTGCTGCTGCTTGGTAAGGCGTGAGGGTCGCAAAGATATTTCTTGTAACTTCAATCGAAGCTGATGCTTCTCCTGGGTCTCTGTATCAACATCTGGATGGACAGGCATCCTGTGCTCTAGGCTTCCAGAAGGCAGAGCAAGGAACAGGGCAGCCTGCTTGCGATTGCAAAGACATTCCCAGCTGGTCGGCAGTAAAGTTGTGGAATCAGTTGTGCCCAGGGCAGCGGGTGCTGGTGGAAGGTTCTAGTCAACACAGTGAGTGGCACCGGATGTGCAAAGGCCCTCTCTCTCTCTCTCTCTCTCTCTCTCTCTCTCTCTCTCTCTCTCTCTCTCTCTCTCTCTCTCTCTCTCTCCTTCCCCGAGGGGACTTTTCCTGCACAGAGAACACTTACCTTTAAAGCCCCTTTGTCTCAGATGGAGTCACATATTGTCTCCCAGGAGCTACTTAAGGAACAGAGGGAGTTAAAATATCTGATAATAGAGCCACTGAGCAGTCAGGCACGGTGGTGCACCTGTGAGCCCAGCACTCAGGAGGCTGAGGCAGGAGGATTGCTATGAGTTGTCAGGCCACCTAGGCTATGTAGAGAGACCCTGTCTTTTTAGTATTTTTTAAGGTTTATTATGAATACAGTGTTCTGCCTGCATGTACGTCAGAAGAGGGCACCAGATCTCATTACAGATGGTTGTGAGCCACCATGTGGTTGCTGGGAATTGAACTCAGGAGCTCTGAGTGAGTAGTCAGTGTTCTTAACCTCTGAGCCATCTCTCCAGCCCCGAGACTCTGTCTTAATAAATAAAATGCAGGCACTATGTGTGGCGGAACGCTCCTGTATTCCCAGCATTTGGAAAATGGAGACAGGAAAATTAGGAATTCAAAGTCATCCTTGGCTACATAGTGAGTTTGAGGCCAGCTTGAGCTACATAAGACCCTGTGTCATATAATATAGTATAATACAAATCAAGCAAGTAATCCATTGGCAACACAAACCCTGTCACTCTTGGCTTTATTCATTGTCACTAAGGTTCTCTGGCCTGAATCCTCACTGCTCCTGTAACGGAAACACCGGAGCTTATGAAACCAGCACTTTTCCCCCCTCCCCAAAGAACCAAGAGAAGGAGTGTAGTAGGAGTGAACCCCACAAAGCTATCCGCCCATGAGGGCAGGGACAAGTAAATTAGCACAGGTAGAGATAAAAGGAAGTGAAAGGAAAAAGACCCTCTCTTTCTCTTGGAAGCCAGCCACACTTCTAACTCCTAGCTTGTGTGACTCTCTCTCTGGTAAATAAATATATTGTATCTCCTATAACATCGGCTATCACAATAAAGGAGATTCTCCTTCTTGGGCTTCAGAGCCTGGCTACCTATGTCTAAAATCTCTAGCCAAAACTGGACGTGGTGATGCATGTCTGGAGGCCAGTCTGGAATATTCAGTGAGACCCCGATAAAACCAAAGCCAAAGCCTCTCGAAGCCACACCACACCTGCAGAGATTTCAAAGCCCAGAGCAGGGCCCTTGCCGGCCTTTAGTTCGTTGGCCAGTTTTAAGTCACGGTTGGTCGTGACCCTTACCAGGACAGCTTCCTCTCAGCCGACCTTACCGAAAGCGTCGCTGTTATCTCTGGGAGCCACGAGGAGAAACTCAGGGTTAAGCCGGGTCTCACAGGCCCATGGATGCCACTGCCCTGGAAGCCAGCCTGTTTGTCCTGTGCTTGAGGATCATAACTGGTGTCCTGCTCTGACCTGGCCTTCTGGTGTGTGATGGGTGTCCCACTTGTGAGCTTGTCCCACGGGGACTTCATAAACTAGCAGAGGCATCCCTTCGCTGCTGGGGGGGGGGTGCTATGTAAACCAGCATTTGTTTATCAGCCCAAGTCTCCTTGGGAATTGCTCTCCAAAGGCAGTAGATTACCATGAGCCAAAGCTCTCAGAGAGAGAGCTCTGCCAGGCACAGCAGAGTCACAGGCAGGGGTCCCCTAGGCGCTGTGAGGTAACCTCACCAGTGGAGGGAGGCGCCTGCCTCCAAGACTGACAGCCTGAGTTTGTTCCCCAGGACCCACATGGTGGGTGGGGGAACGCACCCTCAGGACCTGTCCTCCGTAGGGACCATGTTGCACGAGCATGTCCTCCATATAAATACATGCAGTTACAAATGTCTGCGGGAGACGTGCGGCTCCAGAGAAGCTGAATTTCAAACGCGTGAGCGTGTCACATAAATGAGGAAATAGGAGAAAGTTAAGGTGTCCTGAGCTTGGTCTTTATAGGTAGAATGGCTTTCCTGGCTCTGTATGCTCAAAGCTACAAAAGTGTGTCCTTAGCCTGCATTACCACCCCCATGGAGACATTTCCTGCAGGGGGGGTGGGGGTGGAGGGGAGTGAAGGAGGAGTTGTAGAATTTTCCAGAGGCATTGCTCTGTCTGAAGGGGTTCTTGATTTTGGGAGACTCCAAACGACCAAGCCAGTCCTCAGTTATCTTTTCTCCAGAGGCACAGACACGTCTGTCTCTTGTCTCATTACCATCGTGTGTGCTTTGTCATTTTGGGGTTCTCCTTCCAGACATTCAGACGGCAGTCAGTTCTCTCTGGTCTGTCCCTTCCAACTCCTAGAGGGTGGTCCCTGGGGGGCTGCAGGGTCAGGGCCCTGTGTCCCTCTGCTCACGTTGTCATCCACGATCAATCCACAGCCTTGGCTTATGTGTGCTCCTATTTAAAGACATATTTAGCATGTATGTGTCCAAGGGCTGGCCTTGAGCTCATGATTTATGTAGCCCAGAATGACTTTGAATTTCTGATCATCCTATTTCTGCCTCCCAAATGCTGGGACCACAGGCCAGCAACGCCACGCCCGCAGGGCTTTTAACACCGTGGATTCATTAGCCTTGAACTCAGCAGCCAGCAACGCTGAAGTTTATCTCTGCCTTTTCACCCTGAGGGACCCTGAGCCAGCAGCAGCCCAAAGCTGAGCTTCCAGGAGCAAAGGCTGCAGAAAACAACAAAGAATGCACAGCTCTGAGGAGGCCTGGGAGAGAGAAGTGCTCACAGCAGGAAAACTGAAGGAAGAGGACAGGGAGCCTGTCACCGGGCTGCACGTGATGTTTTGTTTTTTGTTTTTTTTTTTTTTTTGTTTTTTTTTGGTTTTTCGAGACAGGGTTTCTCTGTGGCTTTGGAGGCTGTCCTGGAACTCACTTGGTAGTCCAGGCTGGTCCAGGCTGGTCTCGAACTCACAGAGATCCGCCTGCCTCTGCCTCCCGAGTGCTGGGATTAAAGGCGTGCGCCACCAACGCCCGGCTTGTTTTGTTTTTTTAACGCAGCCAGGGCCTTTCTCTGGAGAGTCAGTTGGCAGATGTAGAATCTGAACTGGGGGTTTGATGAGGACAAGCTAACGGGTCTCCCTTGTCCTTGTGCCCAGCCATACTCTACAGATGCTTTCGTCCTCAACCCTCTCTTCTAGAACCTTCCTGGGCCAGTCTTCCTGAGCTGGCGTGTCCTTAGTGGGAGCCTCTCCCTCCCCACTGTGAGTCCTCTCCACGGCGAGTGTTTGTGAGGCAAGGAGAACTGGATACAGTAAATGCAGTCCTAACAGAGAAGTCCTGGGTTGGGCGGTGGTGGTGCACACCTTTAATCCCAGCACTCGGGAGGCAGAGGCAGGCGGGTCTCTGTGAGTTCGAGGCCAGCCTGGGTTACAGAGCGAATTCCAGGGTGGCCTCCAAAGCTACACAGAGAAATCCCGTCTCAGAAAACAATCTCAGAAAACAAACAAACAAACAACAACCCCCCACTGTCCCCCCTGCAAAGTCCTAGCTGGTGTGGAGCTTATAGTTTGTAAGGAACCCTTCATTTTACCAGAAGAACTACAGCAGGGCAGGGAGGGCCCTCAGTAATAAACGTTTTCCTCACATCGATGTTATAGAAGGAACTGACTAGTTTGAGAATTTGAAATTTTCTTCCTAGGCCTGTGGTTGTAAACTGGGCCCTGGAGTTTGATGTCAGTGTCCTCAGAGCCCACTCTCCCTGGACATTTCAAGCTAATAGCTCAGTGTCCAAGGAGAAGCATAGATACCCCAGTGTCCCAGGAGAGGTACCTGGAGTCTGTCCCAGGTACTCAGGCAGGTGAGGCCTTGGAGCTGAACTCCCTGCTTGTCATACACCATCCCTGGCCTCCGAGCACAGCTTCCAGCAGCTGAGGGGATGGGAGGTACATCCCATGACCTCTGCCTCCATGACCAGGCTTCCATGGCACGGCTATCCAGTGTTCACTGGCTTATCATTCTGAAGAGAGAGTTCTGACCAGACCCTGCCCGGAAAAAGCTGCTTCCCCTCTGGGCTTCATTGGCTGTCTGCAGGCTCTGAAAATCTTCACTTTAGACTAAAGCCCGGCTAGAGAATGGGACTCACTCACACATATCCCCTGAAAAAAGTCACAAGTATTCAAACATCAAAGAGAAAGGCTGACTCAGGCAGTTCCGTCCACACCCACCCCCCCACCCCCAGAGTTTAAGAACTGCCCGCGGCCTCATGGAAATGAACTGTCTGAACGGCAGGAAGCAGGGGTGAGAGGAAACGGGGTGAGGGTAGGCTGCACATCCTCCCTTCCGCAGAAGCCCTGTGGGCCTGGATGCCTTCTGGGCTCCCTCTGCCTCCCTCCCCAGGGAGACACAGCCCAGCCAGGGTGGCAGCTGTGGTAGGAAGCCAGAGAAGGCTTGCCTCTTCTTGTTTGGGGTTCATTTTAGCCTATTTCGACACCGGTTCCCCCCCCATTTCAGGAGTTGCTGAGCTCATCATGAAGACCCCCGACCTTCTGAGAGTCCCATGGACTGGCGCAGAAGGAGTAGTGTCAGAGCGAGGCCTTTAGCAAATAGAGTTAACATAATTGATGCTTTTACCGCAGTTATATTCATCACTTCACCATTAATGTGTCATGTGAGTGGGTTAAAAACATTTTATTTTATTTTGTGTGCGTGCATGCGTGCGTGCGTGTGTGTGTGTGTGTGTGTGTGTGTGTGTGTGCGTGTGCGTGTTTCATATGTGCAGGTGCCCTTGGAGACCGTGGCAGAGCACCAGAGCGCCTTGAGTGGGATGCTTGTTAGCTGCCCAACACAGGGTCCTTAGGAAGAGAGAGAAACTCTCTTATCTGCTGGCCCGTCTCCCCGGCACTCCCCACACCTTATTGTTTTCCAATTTTAAATCGCATGTATTCACTTTGTATGGGTGAGCATATGTGAACATACATGCCACAGTATGGGTGTGGAGGCCGGAGGACAATTTGTGGGAGCTGGTTCTCTTCCCCCCCATCATGTGGATGCAGGAAATTGGATTCAAGTCATCAGGCAAGTGCTGGCCCTGGGCAGGGTTTTTTTGTTTTGTTGTTTGTTTGTTTTGTTTTTGTTTGTGTTTTTAAGGCACCATTTTTTGCTGTGTGATCCAGGGTTACCTCCAGCTCATGTGTAGCCCAGTCTCCCTGCTTCCCTGAGTGCTGGAAGGTTGGGCGTGTATGTGCTCCCATGCTCAGCCAGGGTAAGTGTGTGTGTGTGTGTGGCCAGTTTCTCTTAACAAAATCTACTGTAGGTTATTTTGTTCCAAAAGCTGGAGTTGCCCCAAAAGAATACACA